GCAGAACTCTATTTATCAATTCAGCGATTTCTCACGCTTGTGTGGAACAGAAGGGGAGACATTTGGTAATAAATATTGAAACTTCTGATAAATCTTTATAAATGTCAGGCTTAAAATAACTTCAGATTAGGCCCAACCCACTTTTGATTTAAACTCCACCCACTTCTGGCACAGACCCCACCCACTACGAGTACAGATACAGATAATTTATCTTGTTGAACAGTTACAGATAGTGTTGCACTCGCTCATCCCTGGTGTTTTACATCTCGCAGCAGTGGTTGGTCCACTAGAGATTGTAGGCAGAGCTAACGCCACAGTCTTCAACTCACATGTGTGTGAAGTGGTGTACTTTCTTCAAATTTTGTTGCAGTTGACGTTAGGGATAGACCGATAGGGATTTTTTAGGGCCGATGCCGATACCGATTTTTTTCCATCACCCTTAGCCGATGACCGATTATGGACTGCCGATTTTCTTGAGCCGATATTTGGGGTCGATACTGCTTTTGCTCCCTCAATTTACATCAAAAAAATGACACAATGATAACAAATATTACAGGTCTCAAGTTTAAAATAAGAAACATTTATTGAACAGTAAAAAAATACTAAAACAAGATGGAAAGTTGAGGTAGGACAGGTAGAATATTATTATTATTATTATTATTATACATTCAAATAAAAAAAAGAGTTCAGTGCTCTTAAATCTTCCAGTAATGTCTTTATAAAATAAACAAATATTTAAGGTGAAGCATAAATAAAACAACAACTACTGTACACAGTAGGATTCGCTGCATGTGCGCTGCAGGGTCTTCCGGCAACACAGAGCTGCCCGTGGATGCCTGTCTGTAAATCATGCCAGGGAAAAATAAATCCGCGAACCCACGCGCGTATCGGCCGATGCCGATACAAGTAAAAAACTCAAATATCGGCCCGATATATCGGCCGGCCGATGTATCGGTCTATCCTTAGTTGATGTCACAGTGTTAGCTAGACTTGGACCGATTTATCGGCAGTGCTCGGAATCAGGCTGGCTTTCACATGATCGGCCATGACCTGCGACCAGCCGGTCAGTCTAAAATATGCCGATTTAAAACGCCGGTCAAATTCCCGGCGCGCCGCATGATTGGCATCGTGTAACATCAGCAGCGCACACACACGCACGTGCAACTTACAGCTTGGGCCATGTGAGGAAGTGAAACATGGGCGGCTTCTCACCTTAAACATTCACGCACACACATCAAAAGAGAGAAGAAGAAAGTTGTTAATTGTCCGTGTTAAACTCACTGCTGCACTGTGCCGCTTGAAACTGATGAGGCGCGTGTCTGTGCGCTTACTGGCGGGCTTGTCCTGAAGACCTGTGTGAATTTTCCACAGGAGATATTTTTACTTTTTTGTCTATTCAAGAAATTACCCACAAATGCTTTACACCAAGAAATATTATTTTATTTATCCATGTTTTTATTTTTGTATGCCTTTCTTACTTATTTATTTTAATACTGTACCTGAAGTTATATTTGAGCAAAAAGGAAAATGTTTCTTAACAGGTTAAGAAACATGTCACTGTTTTTGTTTGTTTGTTTGAGATGGTCTTGGTTAAAAGTTTCTATTAAAGCAAAGATAGAAAATATTGCATTATCTTGTGTGCTGTAAAGTGGTTTGAAAAAAATGAAATCGGAATCGGCCATCCAAACACTCTGCAAATTGGAAATTGGTATCGGCCCTAAAAATTGCAGTCGGTGCAAGTCTAGTGTTAGCGTCGCTGTGAAGTGAGATCCAAGAAAACCCCGCAGTTAATGCCATAGGTGCTGCCAAAGATAACAAGACAGAGATCTTTAAGATTCTAACATCAGTTTTCAGTCGTTGCATCTAAAATCACATGATTAGCTACTCTGTTAGCATGCAGGTTGCAGTAGCATTAGCCATAATAGCTAGGAAAAAAAATACTTTGTAAGATGGCTCGCCTGTTACTTACAGTTCACGGGGGATTTGTCGGGCTGGTTGTAGATTTGTGATACAGCAGTTTTCTTTGGCGTATCTGGGATTGAATTTTTTCAGGGGTCATCTTTCTTAATTTTGAAACTGTTCCAAACACTTGAGTTTTTAGACATCTTAGCTCATCTGTACGTTTAAGTCACAAAAAGTGTAAATGTCCTTGTCTGAGAATGACTAACAATTAATGTTGATGCATAATGAATTCAGTTGGATTATTTCTTATTTTGTGAGCTATTTTTGAGGGATAATGGTGAGGAAAAACTAAGCATTCTAATACTGATTTGGACATTTATTATATTTGGGTCAGCCCTAGGAACTTTAAGGATGTTTTCTATTTCTAGTATTAATCATCTTCAGATTATTTAATATTTTCTCAGCTACTTGATAAATCATTTAGTTGTGAAATACAGTAAAATGCTTGTGATGATTTCCTGAAGCTCACAACGTCTTCGGATTTTTTGTTTTGTTTGACAAACTGGATGGTTTCAGTTACAAGGACATTAAACACAGAAAATCCTGACAGTTAAGAAGAAGAAATCAATGAATTTCAGGCTTTTTTTGACAGAAATAAATAACCCAAACCCCGTAATTATAACTATCAATTACATACCCAAATATTTTCTATTGATCGCAAGTTTTGTAATGAGTAGTTTTGTCTTGCAGTACCCGTTACCCTTTGGATCATTTATAACAGTGGTGCAGTGCAGAGTATACTCAGGTATTCGGGGTATACCCATCAGCCAAGAGGGAATTTAATTGGAATATAAAAGAGTATACCCACTTCCTGCTTGGTACCCTACCCATCTACTGAGAACTGGGCAATATATTTATATTAAAAGGATATGCTGACATAAGACGAGTAGATATCTTCTTAGATTTTGGATATCATAATATTGTAAGTGTTGTCCTTTCCCTAGTTATAAAGGCTACATTACAGTAACGTGATGTACATTTTTTAAAGTACCAGACTGTTGTAGCTGTTCTATTATTTGCCTTTACCCAATTTATCAAAAATCTAATTGCATGAATATTTTGTGTAAGCATCAAAAGTCAACCCTCAATTATCGCTGCAATATTTATGTCGAGGTATTTGGTATTGTTCCATATCACTCAGCCTTAATTTGTATAATATATTCTCTGTCTCAGTTAATTCTCTCAGCTATACATACAGTGTGTAATTGCTTTAATTTGTTTACATTTTCAGCCCTATGGTTGAGGGACTTTCTGCCCTGAGTTTAGCCTGTCAGCTTATTTTTAGCCTCCAGCGAGCTTCATCCATCAGTTTATGTTTAGGTTAAGGGTGGGGTGCTGAATCTGCCAATCTTTGCACAGGAATTTGTATGAGTTGTGAGCGAAGGAGGAGGAGGAGGAGGAGGAGGAGGTGCTGCTAGGGAGGGCAGGAAACCATTGGGAAGAAAGTCCCTTTTTACTGTGTGTCCATTCAGTCAGTTGCCTCATTCCATAATTAAGCTGTGATATCTAAATCTAGGCTGTGTGTGATTAACACCTGGTTATGCTCCGTGTCTGTTTGTAGCTGTGAGTTATTTACTTGATGTATGTTGTGTTCAGGAAGAGGTACATGTCTTTTCTTTGCTTCATTATGAACTGGACAGTATAAACTACAGTGGCACCACCCAAAACTAAATGAAGCGTGCCAACTGGACCGTATGTTGGGCAAGTGGGCAAAAATGCATACGTTACAGGAGGAGGAGAAGTGTGTGTGTGATGGGAGAGGGATGTGCAGTAATTTGGTGTAGGGCATCTGTGCAACACTTGGGTTTAGGTCACTAAAATATAGATATGAATGTGTGTGTGTGTGATCATGAGAATGATGTGATGAGCGAGTGTGTACACATTTATGTGCTGCGTTGTTTAACATACGATGACAGTAGAAGGATCGATCTATACTCTTGGGGTGTGTGGATTTGGGGGTGATACTGTATGTTAATTGTACATGTGTGTGGCCGTGTCTCCTGTGTTCCCTCAAATGTCCGAGACAGATGTCGCCTAAGGGAGACAATGAAGGCTAATCTAATCTAATCTGAAAATGATGCGAGGTAAAGCAGGAAAACTGTTTTTATATTGAATGTTTTCAAGCGTTGGATAGTTGTAAATGCTTATTATCCTGATAACAGTGTTTTTTATTTAATCAATGTGGATTAGCGATGCACGATATTTGATTTTTTTTCGCCAATATCTTAAAACAACTCATGCCAATAATTGATACCGATATCAATATATCCATTTTTTTCCCCACCTAATTATAGTGATCGTCAAATCTCTTCTGTTGTGGAGTTAACATCATATCATACATGTATACTCTTATCATGATGGCCCACCAGCAGGTGGAGACATGAAATACAATGCCTTTCAGTGTATGCAATATTTATTCAATGGGCAAAATAAAAACAAGCATGTTAGCAGATTCCAGTAGTTCATTTTAAAGCCAATGACGTGCTGATATTATTATGTATCCCTAATGTAGATACTGTCATGGTTTTATGAACTCCTTGTGCATCAATTCACATTTCATTTTCTTGTGTATCTCTGCAGTATGGTAATATGGTCACTCCTGCTGTCTAACTGACCCTCTGGTCTTCAGCTACAAGGATGCTGTGTGATCATGCTGCAGCTACGACCATGTGCCGTCTCCAAATGACATACTTTTGGGGACTAAAGCAGAGTTTTAACATTCAGACTGCGAGGCAGATTTTCCTCTTTTAGCTCAGAGCCAGTTCATTTTTTCCCCAAAGATGGTCAGAGTAAAGTTTATCCACAGCGTCGAGCCTTTGTCTGGTCACTCTGTGCCAGTCATGCTTCCACAGATTGTGATGTTGGTGTTCCTGTGCTCAGGCATTGATACAAAGAAGAGGGTGTTTTAAAATCTTTAACATTTGATCATCTTTTCCAGCACTTTACTCGTCTATTTACGCACAAATGTGTTAAACTTGTTTGTTTCTCTCTCTCTCTCCATTTCCTGTCCCACCTCGCCCTTGTTTCCTCTCCCTCAGCCGTGTAGTGTTGCCAGTCTCTGTGGAAGAGGTGAGTAATCATTACCTCTGTGCCCTCGCAGATACATCACAAGTTGTTTAGAGCAAACACACTTTGAGTCCAGTGTTCCTCAGACAACACACTGTATATTACAGCAGCAGCATGTTGGAATAGTTTGTGTTTATTTCCTCCTGAACGCTCATCTCAGGCTTTCATCTGGGGCACATGCCAGGACAACATGGCCTTTGTTAGAGCGCCCTGGTGTCGGTGTGTGTGTCAGGCTGGTGCTGGTGTGTGTGTCAGGCTGGTGTTGGTGTTTGCACAGAGAGCTGGATGGGAGCTGGAGCTCAGCCTTTAAAACTCCAGTCTCTCTTGTCGTCTTCTTTTTAATGGGAATCACTTTTTTGCTGGTTTTCTGTGCAGTTGTGCTCAGAAATAGCCTGTTTGCTTCAGTGAGCCCAGACCTCAGTGTGATGCCCAGTGACATCATACATTGGCCCTGTTTCACAGCCCGCTATTAGAGAAAAAAAACATTGTGGTGGGCAATTAGAGCTTTTGGATTTTATGAGAAATAACAGTTTTGTTGTTGTTAGTTTGTGGGTTTTCTGTAGATTGTATGGAGGATGAAAAATGAGGCCCAGTGTGCAGAATTCAGAGGCAGCTATTGGCAGAAATGATATATAACACCCATAACTATGTTTTCTTTAGTGTATAATCACCTGAAAATAAGACTAGTTGGGTTTTCTTTACCTCAGAATGAGCTGTTTATATCTACATACAAAGTGGGTCCTCTTTCACAGAGTCGGCCATGTTGTTTCTACAGTAGCCCAGAGCAGTCAAACCAAATACTGGCTCGAAGTGGGGAGAAGTTTCAGCTCTACAACCTCACTGCTCACTGCCACTTAATTCTACATACAATAAATACATAAACAATTGTGTACATAAATTAATAAATAAATATGATAATAAATAAATATTGACATAAAAGAATAAACAGATAAATGTTAAAATGAATAAATAATTTAATAAATGCATCAGTAAATGAATGAAAGTAGATAAATAAACATAACATGAATATTTTAAAATCTATTTCCACATTTTTGTACAACTACATTTATTTATTTCTGTATTTCAGTCAGCATATATTTCTGCATTTATGTATTTATTTTTTTGTTTTTTTATTTATTTGTTTATGCATTTTGTTTTTGTATTTATTTCAGCATTTATTTCTATATTTATTTAGACATTTATTTCTGTATTTGTTTTAGCATATATTTCTGCATTTATTTATTTATTTCTGTATTTATTTATACATTTATTTCTGTATTTATTTCAGCATTTATTTCTGTATTTATTTATTCCTATATTTATTCAGATAATTATTTCTATATTTATTTAGACATTTATTTCTGTATTTATTTTAGCATATATTTCTGCATTTATTTATTTATTCCTTTATTTATTTAGACATTTATTTTTGTATTTATTTTAGCATTTATCATTGCAATTATTTATTTATTCCTACATTTATTCAGCTATTTATTCCTATATTTATTTAAACATTTATTTCTGGATTTATTTCAGCATTCAATTATGTATTTATTTATTTGTTCCTACATTTATTTATTTCTGGATTTATTTATTTATTCAGTATTTATTTATTTATTCCTATTTTATTTATATATCTATTTCCTTATTTATTATTCCTGTATTATTTTCTCTTTTTATTTATTTATGCATTTCTGTATTTATTCACTGATTTATCTTAAGTCATTTTTGGTCCTCCATAAGAAAGCATCAGCACATTCCTTATCAGGGGTTTAAAGTTTATTATGAAAACCAGTTAGGATGTCATTCTTATAGACTGTAGAGAATGATGGATATAGTTCCTGTAAGGTCAGCTGCAGGGAAATTTAAGGATATTTTAAAGCCTTAATTTGAGTTTACAGCTCACTGCCATCTTAATGGATCCAGAAATACTTCATCAAGGGACAATTAAACAGCAAAACACCACAATTTGGAGGCTCATGATCACACACTCTAACATAGCTGTTTTAAATACAGTATATACTCTGTGAGACATGTTTAAAAATAGAAGTCTGGGCTTTCTGAGTAGCCTTAAATACAGTGGAGGAATCTCCTGTGCAGCAGCTAGTAGGTGTTCTTGCTGCATCCTTGAAGCACCTGCCTCGGCTTCAGGGACCTGCTCAGTCTATGCCTGCTCCAGCAAATAATGACAAATAATGAGGATTTGTCCCCGTAGTTTGAGGCTGTGTATTCACTCTGTGTCGTCTTCTCTCTTCCATGTCTCACAGTATCAAGTAGGGCAGCTGTTCTCTGTGGCTGAGGCCAGCAAGAATGAGACAGGAGGAGGTGAAGGCATCGAGGTGCTGAAGAATGAACCTTACGAGAAGGACGGCGAGAAGGGACAATACACACATAAAATATACCATCTAAAGAGGCAAGTCTTTGAAACGCATCAGACCGTCAAGGGTGGACAACACGAGCTGGATACTGTCAGGCAGAATTTGTGAGGTGTAAAGAAACATACGCCAGATAGTGGAGGCAATTCAAAGCTCAGTGATGGGGATGAAGAGACAGGAGAGCATCTGCTGTCTCAAACCACAGAATTGAGGCAGCACCTTTGTGTCAGCCACAAACTGGCACCCACAATTATTTTTATAAATAACCAGCATCACAAAGCAGGCATTTATGGCATTGTTAGCACCTTTCTGCCAACGCCCCGGACACGTAACCTAAGTAGGTAAGGCACATAAAACCTGGAGCGCTGGCAACAGAAACATGATCTGAATTTTTTTTTCCTCCATCTGGACGTGTTTGTTTGGATCTCAGGCAACAGACAGCGCCTGCTGCCAGCTGTTTTGTAGAGCTGTTTTGGCAGCGATCTGAGGGGAGACATCAGGTGGTGAAGACTACTCTGTATGCAAAAATAAGAAGCCATTTTTTACCTTTCAGTATATTCCTGCATGATGCTCTCCATATTTCAAAGTGATGACTAATTCAGGAGTAGCTTTATGAAGTCAGACGCCATTCAGGGCCTCACTAACTTTGAGGTTGCGTTCATTATTACAGGACAATAAGGCACTTGTTGCAAAGTAGATTCCCACTTCTTACCTCAGATCATTTGAGGCCCTCCTCTTTAATCAGAGGTTTAATATCTCAGCTACATGCAGAGTTTCTACAAAGCAGTACAAAGACAACTGGAGCTTGTCTGAAGTCATCTGAGTCCCTGTCAGGTGTTTCCTCTTTTGTCCACCCTTTCTTTGTATTGTGTGACTGGTTCTTTGATACAGCAGGAAGAGGTTGTTCTGAGTTGTTTTGGCAAGAGATCAACAAAAAGGAGACATCATTACAAGCAGAATCATAGGTTTGGTAAAAGGTTTTGATGAGCGTTGCCCTCTAATAGTTACCAAATGTTAGTCGACCACAAAGGTCATTAGTCGGCAAGATTTTATTGGTCGCTTAGTCGCAGAAAAAGAACAAAACATGAAACTATCTTGTCAGAATAAATCCAAACCTGTATGACTGGAGCATGTGTGACTTTACTTTGAAAGGACAGACACAGGAAGTGTCCTCGTCATGTTAATTTCCAGGGCTGGTACCTGCGGTTATTCCACAGGCTAGTTAATAACATGTCGGGCAGGAAATCCAAAGTGTGGGATCATTTTGAGAAGGTGAAGGACGAACCCAAGGTGATATGTAAACTCATCTTCATTGGTCGACTACAAACATGACGTATTATCTGAAACATTGAAGTAGCTACATGCCCATTAGCCCACAGCGTCATTAACAGGCGGCTCGCTCAGTGTGTGACGTGCACTTGGAGATAAAATATAGGCCTATATTAATGAAGGTTCATTAGTACGGTTTGTATTTCTCTGTAATGTAGCACAGTGTTAACAATGTTACTGATACTTTTCTTTCTCACACCTTCAACTCAAACCACCAAAATATATCATTTAATCATTACATTCATATCAGAAACATGCAGGAGACTAGTCCACTGATGGACCCTGATGAGGACTGTTGGTCCACTAGGAAAATCTAGTTTTGATTTAGCTCTGAAGATGTAATTTTTATCTTTAACCAGTTAAGAAAAAATGGCCGTTTTATTTATAAAGGACCGTATGTTTGATCTTCTGACTTCTTCTTTTCTCCCACTGCAGTAAAGTCCCAGGTTATGTGAAGATGATTGCACCAGAGGGAGCATTAGTTTTTCACGAAAAGGCTTGGAACGCCTACCCGTACTGTCGCACAAGTAAGTTCGTGCTGAAGAGTTCACTACAAATCTTGCATGATATGATGAAATGAAAAGGTCGTAGCTGCATGTGATCTTGGCTTCATTTAAATAGATATTTTATCAATGTAACACATGTATGCACTTTTCTAAATGTTGTTTTTTGTTTGTCAAAGATGATAAATGTCATCCTGACTTTTATGCTAATGCTTTTTCTCTCTTCTTCCCCCTTCTCCTGCAGTTGTGACGGTGAGTTGTCAAATTTCTTACGTGTTTTCTAAGACCTGGTCACACCACTCAGTGAAATAACAAAATGTATCTGTATGTCTTTGAGTGTTTGGAGCTTGATGATGTAGTAACTACTCGCAAGGATAGCTGGCGAGCTGATGACAAACACGACATCCAGCCAGCTCTTTTCTCTGTGCTGGACGGTGTACAGCCTTTGGCATTTTGCTTTCTCAGGATTGAACATCATTTCATTCAATAAAGAGTTATTAAAAAGAGGGACAAAAATCCCTCCATAACTCAATTAGGACATTTAACTGGCCTACTGTCCTTGTCCCAGTATACAAGCACGGGAGGGGAATCCATTTATTGAGCCAAGTATGTGCGACTCCTCTACGATAGGTGGAGATATGCCCCCTTTCAGCTTGTTAGTATTGGACCTTTTTCCTGTTGACCTATTATGTCACAGACCAAACAATGGACAAACAAGTTAGCTACGGTTAGCTAGCAGCTAACTGGTACCATGGTGGACAACTTTACAGCTCTGTACATTTGGTCCGTCCAAAAAGTCACGGCTCTGGATGTAGATTTCTCCATGTTGTTACCAGCTTCTTCTTCTCTTACACATTTAATGCTATTGGACTTCCAGGTCAAAGCCCGGGGCGGAAACTGTGGAGCATGCTCAGAGTGCCTCGGCCAGTCACATGATCTGGGTGTGTTAGAGAAATTCGGTTTAGTATGATATTTTCGGGTGCTGTTCTTCTTTTTGAGTTAGCTGCTAACTGCTATAAGTTGCTTTTTAAATCTCCCGGCAATGGGTTGCGCACATAACATGTCATCAAAGCGTCGCACTCGTCTTCCTCCTGTGGCCCATGCTTTTTACACAGCTGGGACTCAGCTCTGTTATGACCACTGCTGCCGGCTTAAAGGCAAAACAACTCTATCCCTTCATTCCATGATTGTACGTTCTATACAGAACAGTGAGGCGGAATAACGGCGCAACATTCCCATCTTGAACAGGCTGTGTAAAAGGGGCTTCTGTTTCCTCAAAGGTCGGGTCTGTCAACACAGCTTGCTTTTTGTCAAGGGTGCATATTTACATTTCAAAGTTCAATTCATTTAAATTTGATGCCTGTGAGTGGAAATTACTGATCATAGAAACAAATTGAATTGCACTTAAATTTTGCTGTGTTAGATACTGGTGAGACTGGGCCTTTACTTTTAATTACTCACAATAATACACAGATACAACTGTGTGAGATCACTCTGTGTCTTTTGACAGTATTTTTTCACAGCCTAGTATTGTTAAACGTTACCTGCAAGCCGACTGCTGCCGCGAGGATCTTAAAATAGATGAGAGCTGAGCGGTGCAGCAGCACTTCTGTTGTTTCAGTAGAAACGTCTGATTGGTTAATTGGATTTAGCTGCAGGGTTTACGTACACATCTCTTCCATTCATGGTGTTCTCTGTGCCGTTTGTGTCGGCTGAGATCAGCTGCACTTTATCAGCTCGGCAGTGTTTTCACCTTTGTAAGACTTTAAAAACTAAAGGCCAAATGTTAATTGTTATTGTGTGTTTTCTCCTGCCTTTCAGAATGAGTACATGAAGGACGACTTTATGATAAAGATCGAGACGTGGCACAAACCTGACATGGGAACAATAGAAAATGTAAGTGAGCAGAGGACACAGTGTGGAGGCGTGTTGGTGTCAAAGAGGAACAAAAAAAGAACGGTCAAAATTGAAGTAGCAGAGGCCGAGATATCCTCACACTTAGACTCCAGTATTAACACTGCATCCTACATTTCCCATGATGCAGTGTGAGAGTGCTTTTCATCAGACCCTCCCTGTTTGATACAAACTACATGTCCCCAGTTTATAATGCAGGTTTAATGCCATCAATTTGAAGTCTCCAAGACCAAGCAGAGATATCTATTATTATGGAAGCCCAAAGGCGACTTTATTAAAACGATCATGTTAACTTGAAAATAAAAACATAATTCCAAAATAGCATTTTAATTTTCAAATAGCTATATGTTTGAGTAGAAGAAAAAAAAAAAAAAAGAATTTTTTATTTGAGTTTAAATCATTGCACAAATAAAAGATAAAAGTATATTTTAATGTTGCATTTTAATTCTCAAATTTAAATTAACATTTGAATAGTTTCCACCTTACAGGAATTTAAGTCTTTGAAAATGAAACGTCAAATCATCATTTTCAAATTGTTAACAAGTTGCATTTTCAATTTAATTTTCAAATATGTGTTTATTTGAGTAAAAAAAATAAAATGAAGATGAAAAGTAATCCAATTTGCAGTTTTATTTTCCCATTGAAAAAGTTAAATCAAAATTGCATTTTAATTTTGTTTGTGAGTTAAAAATCTTTGCACACACGTTAGATAGATTTTATGTTGTATTTTAATTTTCAAATTTAAATTAACATTTAAGTATTGTCCACTGTACAACAATTTAAGACTTTGAAAATGAAATGTCACATGTTGTTTAAGTTGTTAACAAATTCCACTTTTTTTACCTAAATATTGCTTGCATAAATGGAAAACAAGGTTACATTATTTTTATTTCATTTTACTTTTAAAATTTTTTTTCACTTTCCTTTTTATTTTCAAAATGCAGTTTTAACATATCCTTTGTCAATGCGGATCAGTTAACACATTGAGAGAGGGGAGAGATAAAGAAAAATGACAAAAATAAATAAGTAGATAAATAAAAACAAATACATAAATAAAAATAAATAAAAAAAACTATGCCCACAAAAAAGTAAGGTTCTAATTCTGTCCATTTCCAAGGGATGGCTGTGAAAATGGGGCTACAACAAAACCATAGAGACTAAAATAAAATAATAGATAGATAAATAGAGTAAATAAAATGCTTGCAGCAGTTTGGCTTCACACATTGCATGTTACACTGCAATATCTGGACATAGAAGAGAACACAGTGGAGAAAAAAGAAAGCTTAATAAATTAAAAGTTAAGGATGTTCCTTTAAGTAATTATCTTAACAAATCAAATTTTAAATAACTTTAAAATTTTGTGCACCGGACAGTGGGGTACAACTTTGACAGTTAAATGTCAAACAATGTCATTATTTTCATTTTAATAAATCAAAGAACGCCTGTATGTGAAAAAGGAAATGCAAATTGGATTATTGCATTTTTGTTTTATAAACATTCACATGTGGAAATTAAAATGCTGTTGTGGAATTAAATGTTAATTTTCAGGTTTACATTATCATTTTAATATAATCTCCTACAGGCCTCCATATATTGTTCTCACAGACTTAATAAAAAAGCCCCAGTGTGAAACAGGTGGAGTACCCCTTTAATTAGAAACCAAAAAACATCTTAATATGTTGATGCATGTTCAAGAGACAAAGATCCAAGATCCAGTTCATCTGTGAGGTTTTTAATTTGAATCTCATTTGATTTACACTCAGGACAGATTTGAATAAATTGTCTCTGTGTTACCTGTCTGCTGAGCTGAGGTTTACCTGCTCCTGTTTGTGTGTGTGTGTGTGTGTGTGTGTGTGTGTGTGTGTGTGTGTGTGTGTCTGTCAGGTCCACGACCTGGACGAGCAGACATGGAGGACTGTGGAGGTGTCTCCCATAGATATTTCAAACAAAGAAGAAGTGGCCCCTGGGGTGAGTTGCTCCTTTCTGAACATGAATGACCAGACACCACAGCCTGATGAAAACATATTTACTGCAGGATGTCTCCACCCTGAGGAGGAGCGTGGTCAGACAGGTTGACTTCAAGTGTCAAAGAATCCATGCAGCCATTTTATTGATTCTTTGCCATCGTCCATAAAGCCTCACTGAAGTCTATGAAATATTTTACTCACAGTAAAATTCTTAAAGTTGGCCTGGAAGTTTATGTGAAGATGAGGACTGGTGGTTGTTTGTTCGCTCACTTTTTACATAAGATTACAAAGTTAACAAACATTGGTCAGCATCTCTTCTCTGATGGTTTCCTACGTATATTTGCCTTCATACATCTTCATACAGCTTTTTATTAGTCACACGATCACAAACTGTGTGAATCATGGAGCTGTAAAACATTCATGTAATCAACACCAGCTCTGAGCAAATGTTTACGATGGGTCGTGTTCCTGTGTTTAACAATGGTCAGAAGAAAAATAGTTTTTAATTATGCACATCAGAGAATAATTCACTAGTTTTGTGAAATAATTTTCATTCTGAGTGGCATTAAAAAGCCTTGAATCTCACGTGCCTAAAGCTGGAGGAACTCTGTGCTGCGTTGGGTCCGTCCTTCTGAAGGACATGAGCCTGGAAAGTCCTTGAAAAGTCTGTAGATTTGATGTCAGGAACCTTGATTGAGGGTCTGGCATCATGCTTGCACATTTACTGATCCACACTCCATTTCAGTTGGTGGCATTGACTGCAAACTGCCATACGAATCAAATAGAAGCAGAAGAAGTGTGCACAGTGGGGCGTCCATTTACTCACATGGAAGAGCAGGCAGCCTGTGTACAAAGGCTTTGTCCTTGCTGCAGTAGCTGCGGGTTCGAGTCCAACCTACGACCCTGTGCTGCATGTCATCTCCCCTCTCTGTCTCTGTCCCCTCTTCGCACTAAAATAACTATCTTGTTAATTATAGTTTTTAAAAAGTATCTTTAAAAAAAAGAAGAAGAAGAAGCATGCACAGTAGGAAAGAAAATGCCGTCCTCACGACAGCAAGAAGAGCTCCTGTGTTTGCTATTGTTGCTGAACAACAAAAAAATGTTCGACTCTCTCACAAGAGTGTGAGCAGGAACAGCCGATGTGGACTAAAATTCATATCTCTGTTTTTTCAGGCTGACTGGCGATACTCAATACATATATATTTCGGTATTTTCTGCGAAATGAGCTTCATGTTCAGTTACAAGTCAAAGCTACATTTGAGACGTCATACACAGTTTTATAAAGACAGACTGGGATCAAAATAAAATGCAAAGACAGGGATTTTTTTCCCCAAATATCAGGGCTGTACGTTAACTTTGTGCACACAGCTCTGGAGCTACAGAGGTTTAAGGGTTTGCAGCTCACCACACTAAACTATAACACGACTATAAAAGGATCAGGTAGGCTTGAAACATTAAAAATCTTTGTGGGCGAAGTAAAAAAGTTGTTTTCCGTCTGTCGACCTTTCAAATGAATCTAGAGCTGGAAAATGATTTAAATATTTGATTCTTATTTCTGCACAGAGCATCAACAGAGAGGCCGAGGGAGGGACGGAGACAGAGACACTTTGTCCTCGTTATACTTGTCTTGTGTATGAAACGTCTGTGTTGCTGCGTTTTTTAAACGCATCTGTCACCTGCATCCAGGCGCTGTCTCACTTAGCCATGTTTCCGTCAGCCTGTTTAGATGCGCATCTAGAAGTATCGCATCAGAAAGTTATGATGGAAACGCCAAAATTCGAATTAAAATCCCCTGATTCACACAAACTAAAATACGCTTGCTTTAGCCGGGTTTTGGTTGATTCGCAAAACGGGGGATGGAAACAGTTATGTTTGAATTAAGTCTGACGTAGCGCACCTCTCTCCATGGTGATATCCACACTCCGGGTCAGGAAGGCCGTAATGCATTTACAAGCTGGTTGCCAACCGCCAGAAAACGTAGAAGAAGAAGAATGCGAGACTTGTTTTGTTTCCGGTTCTGCAGCAAACTCACGCGTGTTCGTAGTTTTTACCAAAGTCCATACATTTAATGGAAACACACAGGATTCATATTTCTTTTAATGCACATTTCCCAATGATTCAAATCACTTTTGGATGGAAACATAGCTAGTGTCACACAGTAGACTACAACTACCAAGAAGAACGGCGACGCGCTATGATCATAGCTCATGTAACATACAGACCGATGTCTCACTGTAGACTAATGACCAGACAGATTAAACAGAGCAGCAGCTCTGTGTCTCTCTGAGTGTTGGTGGAGAACTTTGTGCAGAGAGAGAGAGGAGAGATGCACACTAGTATGGCCTTTATAGTAGATTAAAAAAAAATACGTACAGCAACCGCACATCTTCTCTTAAATTGTCGTTAATGCATAGGATCATCTGGCTGCTCAGTACAGCACGTAGATGTTTGTAGCGCATCACCCCACTCACTGTCCCCCCTGAGTTTCCTGTTGCCTTCACGTTCTGCTCTCAGTAAAAACCAAATCCATAATTAAACATGTTCCACATCCACTTACTGAGACAGCTGTCTCTCCGTCAGCTGAAATCAGACCATTAAGACGTGCATGAATACCCACTGACACTTCATCAGTGAATGTCTCTCATGTGTTGCAGAAGCTTTGCAGAAAGTGTCCCTTCAGCTTTCTCGCTGTGAATCTCAACATGTGCCTGTATCCCAGTCAAACGCTGGTTACTGGTGTCACAGTGTCCCAGCAGCTGGTTCATTATTCACTGTCTATGGGGCAGCTCCAGGGCGTGCATTATCCATTCATTTATCTTTGTATATGACGTCATCATCTGTGCCCATTCAGCTTAGAAGACACTTTTTCTAACGTGGAGTTGTACGGCGGAAACAGCATGAGAATCCAGTTGGACTGTGTTTATCAGTTCAGTTTCAGTTCATCTGCCACATGTGATTTGATGTGGGATTGATTGGGATGGGAAACAGATGAAGTCTTCTACTGGGTTAAAAAGTATTTCACTACTGGAAAGACAGTCTTTTTGTAAAACTGGACTGTCTATGCCGCAGAAAGACACTAATACTTTTAAAATCTGAGAAAAGGGACTGTTGCATTCTCTCTGGTTTAAGAGATAGAAAGCCTACAACCACCAGGTTGAACTGCACTGCACCAGTTAACACTCCTGCTGTAGGTGACATAAGGCAAACTTGTCCATTTGACACAATGGCAGCTGGCTGGCAACAATTGATGTTGTATTACAGTTAAACCAGGTACCAAAACCAGTTATTAAACGGGCCCTGGGGCCAAATTATTGATAAGCTCTGAGGTTAACGGTTCTGCAATCTGTGTTGGAGAAATTCAGATATATTTCTTGTTTATTTTGGTTACGTAAATGTTATCTCGTGTAGTTTTTATCTCACCAACTCCATTTCTCTCTCCTTCCTTTTTTTTTTTAAAAATCTTTTTTTGTTTTTCCTTATCTGCTGAGGGTCCAAGGACCAAGTATGTCGTATGCTGAAAAGCCTCTGAGGCAAATTGTGATTTGTAATATTGGGCTTTATAGATAAAATTGAATTCCAAATAATGCTGTTGCAGAATGTTAATTTGTACCCCTTTTTAGACAGGAGTTGTGCAAATTTGCAGGAAAGCCCAATCAGTGTTTTTTCAGCATTGGCAGTATAAAAACAAAATCGGGGAGTGCAGCAAAATGCCGCCTACCTACTTTTGTTTATACAGAATGCACCTTTTTCGGGGCAATGGGGGGCGTGAGCAAGTAACAAAACGTGTAGCTCAGCGTGTGACGTAAACAGTGACGTGGGAGGGAAGCTGCGGCTGGTCAGTCCTTCGGCGATTCTCTCATAAGTCGTCCCGTCCTTCACCGTCCCCGTCATCTGACAGTTAATGGCCTCTTCGTTTGCGAGGACAAGGAGGGCGCGCAATTCCTTGTCTCCCCAGTTGCTCATCTTTACAGTGTCTGTCAGGTTTGTGTTTCCCTCTTGCTACTAGCTGCTCGCTAATTCCTGCTATCAGCTGTTTCCTGTTTATCCACCACCAGTGGCTCGCACGTGCAGCGTCATCAACAGTTCCTCCCGTGGCGGAAGGTCGCCTTGGTCTGTTTAAAATAAAAGGGTTCCACTAATATGTCTACCCTACGAGGAGGAAAATTGGGCACCTTGGATCAACTTGCCAATCCGGCTCTGTGTGTCTAAACTCTCGCAGCTTGCCGGCAAAATGGCCCAACATTCGCGGGAAATCTGGCAGTGTAAAAGGGGCTTATATTTTGTAGTTACATACACAGAAAATGAAGCAATGTTAGTTCTGCTCTTAATTAAAAAAACCCAAAGGAACTGACAAGAGTATCGTTCCTGTATTGAGTGAAAGGGCTGCAGACGGCAGCAGCAAAACAGGCTGCAGTGTAACGACTCAGGGCATGTTCCCATCGCCAAGTTTCATCCATTAACAGTGTTTGTTTTTGCCACTGACAGGTTCAGACTGTTATAAGTTTTTGACAACACAGAGTTACCACTAGACCTTTTTTTAAAGAGAGACAGTCCTGAAATCACCGTCACCAAACCCACCAGACTCCATTTAAAAAAATAGTGATTTTATCATCATTCAACACACTTCATTCAAAGTCAATAGAAACCAAGTAAAACTCCCAGAAACCATCTTAGTTCATCTCTCAGCTGTTCCAACAATCACCAGCTCTGGTTTGGTTTAAATTAACCCTTGATTCACCAGTTAGATGTGACAACATGCTGCCTCTTTACACACTAACATGACTGTTGATTTGGTGGGTTTGGTGACGGTGATTTCAGGGCTGTTTCTGGTTAAACAAAAAGGATCTGACTCTTTAACACAAAGCTCTATCCTTGTTGGGATCCTTTCATAATGTTGTCAGACACTTAGAATAACAATGTGAGCCTGTCAGTGACAAAAACAAACACTTTTAGTGGTCTTAAAATAATGATGCACATATGCCCCAAGAGGTTACATTGCAGCCTGTTTTGCGGCTGCTTGCTGCAGTGGTCTCACTCAATACTGCACCAATTTAAAAAATGATTGTCCCCATTAATCACTTCAGCGCAAGAGCAGGGTAACATAGGGTCCAGGTTGAAAAACACCAAAGTTACCCGTTAAACCCTCTTACCAGTCCAGTCGTGGGCGCCTGTCAGTCACTTAATACCTAAACCATCATGTCGCCCGTGGTTTAAAATCTTAAAGGAGGCATTAAGCCATTTTCATCCAGGTGGGTCACAGCGTTTCTTACACCAGCTCCTGTTCAATAATGACTTAAGTGGATCAGCGTTGAGGCCCAGGCTTAATCTGAATGTCCATCTGCTCCAGGTATTCAGCGCTCTTCCCCAGCACACCCAATGGATTAAAACAGCACAGTGAGCCTTGAGCTCGGCGGTGGGATTTGGGGGTTGTAGTAAAAATACTATCTTGTGGTTGCTGATTCAGTGTTCCTGGACGGGAGTCTGAACACGGCCTGGAAGGGTGCAGTCTGACTAAACAGTCACATGGAATTAATTCCCACAAGCCAAGAAAAACAGCTCCTGTTTTCAGCTTTGTGACAGTGTTGTTTTGTCTTAGTTCTTTCAGATGATCAAACAACATTTAAAATGGTTTATTCATCCTGATCAGTAGGAGGATATCTGAACGCTTAGAGTCCCTCTCTGTTTTTCGTCTTGCTTGTTGACCTTGATGTTTGAGCTTCACTGTGCAGAATGATTCATGTGCAGTTTTTTTACATTCATCTGCTGAAGACAGAAAGTTCCTCTGTGCTCACCTTGACTCTGAGTCTAAGACATGGATGTATGAACGTGATTTTGTGGCCAGCCAGTCGTGCTCTAGTATGTGCTTACATAAGTGTGAGGCTTCCAAGTCACACACGAGAATATATTTTTCAATAGTTGCAAGTTCAAGGTCATATACTAAGGATTTCTAAATGAGGGAGAGTAATAGTAGATGAAATGTAAGCGTGCCGGCGATACCCACGGCCTGAGGCATTATGTTTTGGGTTTGTTAGTCTCATTCTTGTGAACAAGATATCTCAAGAACACCTCGAGGGAATTTCTTCAGATTTAGCACAAACGTCGTCTTGGACTCAGTCAGTACGTTAACATGCACAAGGATAGCTGGCGAGCTGACGACAAACACAACATCCAGCCAGCTCTTTTCTCTGTGCTGGAGCGTGTACAGCCCCTGGCATTTTGTTTTCTCAGGAATGAACATCATTTCATTCAATAAAGAGTTCTTAAAAAGGGGGACAAAAATCCCTCCATGCCTCCATGGATTGCTGTTGGGACAACAATCAGAACAGTTTATTGAAGGGACATATTTGTACTGTGCAGTCCTGTCTGCTAACCATTAGCTTTTTATGGAGCAGAAAAGGTTAAATTAATATAGATGTTGAAACACAGCTAATAAGCTACGAAAGCTTCTATATTGTGGCTCTTTCTCTTCAGCCCTTTTTACACAGAGATCCTGCAATACTGCCACATTCACTACCTTTAATTATGCCGACTTTATTTCTTTACTCAGAACCAAATAACGCCAGTATAATGCCGCCCAGGTGTGTGATTTTAAGACAGCAAACCAGCATTCTTGAAGCAGAAGAGGTGTGACGAGTGTAACATCGACATCTTCTGTGACATATAACATATGCGTCAACAGGCTCCTGGACTGCATTCAGTGCGTTTATATGCACAGTGAAGTGGAGCTACAGCTCCAGCTGGACGAGGACATTTAACTGGCCTACTGTCCTTGTCCCAGTATACAAGCATGGGAGGGGAATCCATTTATTGAGCCAAGTATGTGCGACTCCTCTACGATAGGTGGAGATATGCCCCCTTTCATCTTGTTAGTATTGGACCTTTTTCCTGTTGACCTATTATGTCACAGACCAAACAATGGACAAACAAGTTAGCTACGGTTAGCTAGCAGCTAACTGGTACCATGGTGGACAACTTTACAGCTCTGTACATTTGGTTCGTCCAAAAAGTCACGGCTCTGGATGTAGATTTCTCCATGTTGTTACCGGCTTCTTCTTCTCTTACACATTTAATGCTATTGGACTTCTGGGTCAAAGCCCGGGGCGGAAACTGTGGAGCATGCTCAGAGCGCCTCGGCCAGATTGGGTCTGATTGACTGTATACATGCAGGAGGAGTTCAACTCCACTCACATTATCTGCGTTTGAGAAATTTTATGTAGTATGATTTCAGTCGGACTAACATGTTTACATGGATTTTAAAAGTCCGGTTTTAATCTTAGATTTTTCTCTGAGGTCATGTAAACGTTTTGACTGTGACCCCTCAGCACAGACTCATCGACAGTAGCAGCTGTGTTGGACAGGTGACTCAGGTTCAGTCTGTTTTCTTTCAGGATCTTAACGTTGTGTCGTCCTTTTGTTCTCTGCCAGGACTATAAACCAGAAGAAGATCCTGCTCTTTTCCACTCTGTCAAGACGGGCAGAGGACCCCTCGGCCCTGAATGGAAGGTACCAGACGCAGCAACAGAAAGCAGAGATGATGTTGTCCTGTCCCATGTTGTCTGTCCTCTGTCACTCCAGTGATTAATGTGTGTTTTGTGCCTTCACAGAACGAGCTGAAGACAGACTGTCCTTACATGTGTGCGTACAAACTGGTCACTGTCAAGTTCAGATGGTGGGGACTGCAGACCAAAGTGGAAAACTTCATCCACAGGGTAAAGCAGCACATCTATTCATCTACAAGGTCTTTGCCATTGGAGGTCATGTGCCAGTGAGGTGTTGTTTCTGCTTTGGACAGCAGAGGGAGACGTGGCCTTTTTCAGTGTTTCTTAAAACTGGAGGGAGAGAAAATTAAACTGAGCAGTTGTAGTTCAGTTTGGGATGAGATGAGAGGGACAGTGGCAAAGGAAACATTTAGCAGGTGCAAATATTTAACCAGAAAAACATTCAAAGTCTACAACATGGACTGAAGGCAGGAAACAAGAGTCTCCCACCTGAGTTATTAGTCTGTAGCCCACCTATTGGTTGCACACAGCAGCAGTAAGTTTAATTTATTTTTACCTTTTTATCTCTCCACAGCAAGAAAAGCGTATTTTCACCAACTTCCACCGCCAGCTGTTCTGCTGGATCGACAGATGGGTGGGTTTGACCATGGAGGACATCAGGCGGATGGAAGAGGAGACCCAAAAAGAGCTTGAGGAGGTAAATAACTGACCAGCTATCATATCAGACTCATACTGGACGGTCATGTCTTCTTCCTGGTTTGGGTGGATGTAAGGAATGCTGTAAAGATACTTAACTTTGAACACAGAATTCAGTAGAGTTGTTTTAATCTGTTTCATGTTTACAGATACTTTGAGGCCCAGTCCACATGTAAGCGAGCATTTCTGAAAAAAAGGTTTCCGTCTCCGTCTAAATGAAAACGCAAAAAGCGCTGTCAAGAGCACGGCAAACCAACAGGCAGCGATATCACTGAAGCCACGCATAGAAAATGATGTTGGGCAATCAGAAGCCTGATGGAAAAGCTGCTGTTAAAGCTATTGTTAATGATATAACGTCTCAAAAAAGATTGCTGCTGAATTCATTTTCTAGATCAAAGTGCTGCCAAACCGCGCTGGTTTTGTGAGAGGACTGCTGTCTGGCGGCTCTGTAGCACCCACTAGTGGTGGGAGGCTGCATGACAGTTAAATCGCCTTGTACATGAATAAAACACTAATTAGTTTAACTGACTAATATTTCTGGTGCCGACTAGCGAGGGGGCAGACGTTTAATCATGTGCATCCCTAGTTTTCAGTGACCTAAAATGCAGTTTGCGTGTGGGTGAAAAGCCAACAAGCGTAGAAACCGCTACGTGTGGACTCGGCCTAAAATTAGAGAAGTGTTTTTTCTCTTGTGAATGATAAATGATGGTACAAGTGATGATTGTTCTGTTTGGACCGGACTGCTGGAGACGACTCTACACACCTGATCTACCTGATTTAACCCTTTACTCCTGAATTTCACATCAGATGCGTCAGAAGGGAGATGTGCGAGGCACCTCTGCAACAGACGAGTAGAGGCCCGTCGCTGTAGGTCAAACACTAGAGGCAGGCTGAGTAAGTCTCATCACAGGAGGGGTGATGGTGGCGCTGCATGGATCATTCTCCACCCTTTTCTTAATTCTGCTCTCAGGCTGCTGTCTTAACTCACTCCTCCTTTTTTTGTTATCTGTCCAGTTTGTTTTTTCAGCCCCGTGTCTTCTTTCTGTTTCTAATCTTCTGTTTTCATTCAAATCATCTTCATCCACTCACGTTTGTCATCTTCACTCTCATGGTAACGTTCTCTTGCAGCTCGATCGCTCGTCTCCAACGCTTCACTCTGTGCTCTGTTTGTTTTCCTCCTGATGTTTTGTGATCGTGGGAGTAAAGAGAACCTCACTGAGATGTTTGTGGAGTTAGCTGATTCTTCTGCATGTGCATGGCTTATTGCTAACTGATGTAAATGTGAAGGGATAGATCAAATGTTTTGACGTGGGGTTTCATGAGGTACTTGCTGCAGTAGGTGGCGGTCAGGGCGCCCCCAGTTTGGAGAAGCAGGCAGGAGTACCACCACGGAAGCTCAGCAATGTACTGATGTGGGCGTGGGCAGCAGGAAGTTTATTTTAGGCACCTACAAAAATTAAAATCAGTTTAGGTGTACGCTACATTTAGAATATTTTCACTGCTTTATCTTAACGTCAGACAGCCAGACCTTTTAAATGTGCTTTCACCCAACCTGTTTGTCTGTTTAGTACAGCTCATTTTTGCTGGTGGTAAAGCTGTCAGTTGAACCCTCTTGCAGACCAAACTACTGAACCAAGACCACCTGAAAACAGACTGAGGTGCGGTTCGCTTGAGATGTGAAAGCAAATGAACCAGCCACAGGATTTAATTATAGCAGACGTATTTGAAGTGTTATTTCAAAAACTAAACCACCTATAAATCCGTCTGCTGATCGTGACAGTGATCTTATGACTCATCAGTATAAGGCCATCTATATAACCTATTTACGCTAATCATTTGGTAACCAAACACGTGTGCACATCAGCGCGAGTGTTCTCCCTGATCAATGAGTCAGACATGTTGGAACTGCTGTGCTTTGATATGACTGTATTTCGTCAGTTCATTGAGTCCATTAAAAAGTGTGACAGCGATCTCACAGTAATAAGCCCCGAATCATTACCATACACTCCCTTTTCCTGCCGTCACTACTGTTGGTCTTTATTGTTAACACGTGGTTAGTATGGTTCGTTTGGGCCGGTGTAAAAGCTGTGAGTCGAACCCTGGTGCAGACCAAACAGCTGAACTGTGACCGCTTGTAAAGGCACAGACGTGTCCAGTCGCCTCTCTGTTAGCTCTGCTAAATTTGTGCCAAATTTAGGCTCTTATGTCTATTTTGTAAGTCTGCTTTCTGTGGTTGGCTTTGGATGGCGATGGCGTGTGGCTGTGGGTCACTCATCAGGATGAGGAAATCAACTCATCAGTCTGTAAACTCTTCTTCTGCTGACTTCTGATAGCTAGCTAGGTCGAGGTTTCCAAACGTAAATATCTAGCATCCTGCGAGCCATCGTACAGGTGTTGGATAATAAACTGGATGACCTTCGTGCCGCATCACTTTCCAATCAGGAACTTTAATATCTTTTGATTGACTGAAATTTGGCTAAATCCTGGAGAGCTCCATTCAACCAGGAGGCTCTTTTTTATACACTTATGTGACAGAGCAGAGGACTCTGGGAGAGAAGGAGAGGAGGAGAGGAGGCGTGTGCTTTATGGTGTGACAGTGGGAATGTGAGCTGCTGTCCTGTTCCTGCTGTGGATCTAGACTGACCGCACCAGAGTCTGTTTAGAAGTGGACTGAGACCCAACTTTTCAAGTAGTCTCAGTTTGGTTGTGTTGTCTGCAGCAGGGTTTGACTGACAGCTTTCACACCAGCTTAAACGAACCGCACTAACCGTGCAAACTGACCCGAGTTTGTTTTAACCGAACCAAACAGGTTAGGTGTGAAGCACCCCAGTGTGGAGGCAGCGGTGACCAACAGCTCCTGTACTCTGAAGTGAAATAACTGTTTTCGTCAGAGGAGTACGGTGGCTTTAAAGAGAGCGTAGATAGCGGCTTCAGTTCCCCGTCGGACAGGACTGTCTGACTGCAAGATGAAGCAGTGAAAATATTCAGAATACAGCGTGAACGTGAACTGATATTGCGTAAAATACGTTTGCTGCTGCCCTCGTCCACAGCAGTACATTGCTTAGCTTCTGTGGCAGCACTCCTGTCTGCTTCTCCAAACTGGTGGTGTGCCTACCGCCATCTACTGTAGGTAACACACTGACTATGGATAAGTACCTCACACAACCCCACCTCAAAAACTCTGCACTGTCCCTTTAAACACCTCCTGAAGTCTTCACCACCAAACCCACACACCAACCTTCTCTCTCTCTCTCTCTCTCTCCATCTCCAGCTGCGTAATAAAGGTCCGATTCGAGGCACCAGTGCTGCTCATGAGCAATGAGGCAAATCAACCAAACCCTGTCATGATGATGTCATCAGAGACACGTCCACCACGATGAGGAAGTGGCCCTGACGTCGACCTCTTCTCTTCCTGTCTCACATGATTCATTGGGGGGTTTGACAAGATTGGTTCAACAGTACTGTACAGATTCTACCCCAATCACAAGCCTCCTGTTCACAACAGAAAAAACATGGTTTTGCATACATATAAAAAGAAAAAAAAAACTCTTTGCACAGAACGTAAATTGCCTGATATGTAATTGTTAGTTGATTATTACAATGGGCTTTGTTTTTATTCAGGTGTCTAAACCGTGACTCAGAAAGTCAAGCCTTTTAAATTAATTAGAATGTTGTTTTTAAGTAAACAGGTTCCCACAATAATTGGTATCAGACTTTAGCAGGTATTGGACCATTCACCCCCCCCCCCCCCCACCCCTTCCTGTGTATTATAACTGTCTGTCTCTACTTTACTCCTCGTCTCTCCCCTCAGTATCGTCTATATTCTTGTCCTGGTATAAATGTGTCTAGATCTCGTCCCCTCTTTGTCTCGCTGTCCCCTCTGTCTGGCAGTCGGTCGGGAAAACTGATGTTTTAATTTCTTCTTATAGTTTAATTTGGAGGCTGATGCCTGTTTAGGGTTCGAAGCAAATTTCATGCATGATGGATAAACTCTGCTATCGTTCCCCCCCACACACATTTGGACATGCACACAAGCCCTCCTCCTCCTCCTCCTCCTCCTCCTCCTCCTCTGTCACAAGTGCATGTGGACAACAGCAACTCCTCGCTAAAACTGTCATTGCATGTCGCTGCAATGCAGCTGCGCTCAAGCGGACTGTTTGTGTTGATTAGAGAGAGTCTGTACAATACAAGTGTGTGTGTGTGTGTGTGTGTGTGTGTGTGTGTCAGTGTGTGCATCTGCGTTTGCGTTATCAACTGCCTTCGCTCTTAAAGGACTGTCACTCTGGAGACGGAGAAGCTTAATATCGAGGCTCCGTGCGTGGCGCCCGCGCCCCACCGCCGGCCCGTCAAACTTGCCTCATGCTGTCGCTGCATGTCCTTTCTCCTCGGCTAGGGCTTTAACTGGAGCGCCCCCACAAGCCTCCACTCTTCTTCTTCTGTTTTTTTTTTAGACTAAAACAAATGAGGATGAGAGTCTGTGCGTCGCTGCGTGCATGAATCTTTTTTATATTCTCCTCAAACTACCACTTCCTCTCACCTGACAGAGCAAATGGGTCCAGGCAGATCTGTGATGTTTGTTGTGGTTTTAATTTTTATTTTCACCGTGTATAGTGGTTCTTTTTTTAAAGCTTTTCATCTACCTTAGCTCAAAGTATGAGGTCAGTCTAGTTAAGGATGAATCTCTCCGCGAAAACATTTAGACGGTTGTCGTAGCCTTGATCTGAACAGGTGGCGTCCTCGTCCTGCTCTCTCCTGCATCGCTACTTTATTTCTTTGCGCTGCGTTGAGCAGTTCGTCACAGCGAGAGCTCACATCTTTATTTTGTGCGTACTGCAGATCCCGTCGGGCTGTAGGTGGTGTTTTCTACGATCATGACGTAGCTTAGTGCAGTTACCCATCTGTGGTTGTGTATCGGATGAGGTGTGAGTGTCTCTTAGGTTTCGTCGTGACCTATCTGTGCGTGCTGTGTGTGGACAGGTTGTAAAGAGAGTTATAAGTGTACTTTATAATTATAGAAATGGACAAACTGTACATACAAACACTGACTTGAATGGAATATTCACAGCGACTCGGCGCTGTCAGGTCTATCATTCAGCACTGCTAACTTTAACGTTGTGAGAACAGCTGATGTCAGCTCTGTGGACAGTGTGTGTGTGTGCGCGCGCGTGTGTGTGTGAAGTGGAGCAGACTGTCTACGTGTTGTTTAACCGTACCTCATCCATGCTTATGAATGTACAGCCGGGAGACAGATGTGTCAAACTATGCAGGATGTTTCTGAGCTGCAGGACCTTGTTTCACACCTGTACAGGCATGACATGGAGCCGTTACATCATCGATACACGAGGGGAGATTTACGAAAACAAAATTTGGATCTGCATGCTCAACACTTCCTTTTCTTTCCTTTCTTTCGTCTCTGTGTGTTTGATCAGGACATCAGTGCTTTTGAGAAGCTCTTGAACTGCATCAGACAAGAAGGGAAATCCTTTCTCAGAGGGCGGCTTCCCCTCAGAGTCAAACTGGAGTCAGCTGGACCTCAGACTAAAACTTGAGGAGTGAAAAGCCTGACTGAGTTTGACGATGACGGGAGTCGGCCCGTAGACTAGAGTAGGCTGTGTGATGTACAGTTCTGTAGCATTACCAGTGATGCCAGCCAGGGTATGACTGTGAGGGGAGGGATTGAAGCTTAGGGAACAGATGGAGTCCAAAATACTGTTTTTCTTTTATTGTAATCATGAATAAGCACTTGCAAAATCTACTGTTTTTTTTTTTTTTCTTTAATGTTTTGTTTTTGAAAGACAAAGATTCACAATGTATTCGATTTTCTCTTTTCTGATAAGGCAACATTCAGGGGAATTAGTAGTGAATGTAAAACAATTAGTTCCTTTTTTTTTTTTTCTTTTTCACGGCTTCACGCTGTGACAGAAGGTCTAGACAATGGAACATAACAGAATATCTAATAAATTTGAACAAATAAGAGAATCAACGTGCTGTTTCCTGTTTTGTGTGTGTGTGTGTGTGTTTGACGTCTGTCTCTCAGAGAGTGTTTAGTTTTATAATACACTTTATTAGGTACATCTTGCTGGTACCAGGTGGGACCCCCTTTTTAATTCTTGGTGTCACAGATTCAACAAGGTGCTGGAAACATTCCTCAGAGATGTTGGTCCATATTGACATGATGACATCACACAGTTGATCCATGATGAGAATCTCCCGTTCCAGCACATCCCAAAGGTGCTCTATTGGACTGAGATCTGGTGACTGTGGAGGCCATTGGAGTACAGTGAACTCATTGTCATGTTTGAGATGATGTGAGCTTTGTGACATGGTGCGTTATCCTGCTGGAAGTAGCCATCAGAAGATGGGTACACTGTGGTCATAAAGGGATGGACACGCTCAGCAACAATACTCAGGTAGGCTGTGGTGTTTAAACCATGCCATGACCTCTGACCTCTGGCATCAACAAGGCATTTTGGCTCACTGGATATTTTCTCTTTTTGGGACCATCCTCTGTAAACCCTAGAGATGTTTGTGCTGAAAATCCCAGTAAATACTCAGAGCAGCACGTCTGGCACCAACAACCATGCCACGTTCAAAGTCACTTCAATCACCTTTCTTCATCATTCTGATGCTCCGTTTGAACTTCAGCAGCTCGTCTTCACCATGTCTACATGACTAAATGTTAATGAGCTGCTGACACGTGATTGGCTGATTAGATAGTTGCGTTAAGGAGCAGTTGAACAGGTGTACTTAATAAAGTGGCCAGTGAGTATGTGTAAGTACAGAGAGGATTAGAGCCATGTGAAAAACTCACATGTGGCCCTTATTGTCTTATGTTGATAGAAATTGCTTCAGTGAGCCACAGTGATTTTGGAGATATGAAAATCCTGACGCTGAAATAAGCAGCAGCATCACTGTCTAGGGAGAAGTTGCACTCGCCTACTTCCACAGGCTCTGTTCATCTTTTGATTGATGATTAAAAAATGCTCTGATTTTCTATTTACCCTGAAATATGACATCCTGGAGGAGAAACACAGTGGTTTAGTAGTTTGTTTGGCAACTCCGACCTGACCAGAGTTAAACTCTTCTTGATGCATGCTCTGTGAGTTTCATGTTCAACATTCACTGATGGAGGACTGTAAAGAGGAAATACAGCGGGTGTGGCTGAACAAAAATTTTAAAATGTTATGATGGAATAAATTGGGCCTGATTCTATGTAAGAATGTACTGTACGGTGGAGTAGAAGAGTTTTTTCAGTGGTGAAAACTAGCTAAGTAGGTTTACTCAAATACTGTATTTAAACACAGTTTTAAGGCACTTAATGATAATAATAAATACCTAATGCAAATGTACTTTTTCTATACTACATGATTACTTTATTTACTTTGCTGATTCAGGTTAGTAAATTAGTGGGAATCACCAGAGGCCCCACGATACCATATTATCATTATACTTAAGTCATGTCACAATTTTGCTGTGATTTTAAATTTTTTACAAAATGCTGAGTATTGTGATATAATATTTGATATATATTGTAAAAAAAAAAAAACATTTAACTGCAGATCCCCTGCCCAAGAATTTGTTTTTTGTCCATGTCTGTTTCATGTAATAAGATCTCATCTCTAAGTTTTCAGTCTGTCATCTCACTTTTTTTTTTAAATTTTTATTGCAGCAAAATCTAGTGGACTGAAAAAGCAATTGATTTTATTATTGTAGTAGAGTTTAATTTGCATTTGTAGTGTTAATTATTTATATAATTGGATAAAATCAATGGTGTCTGCTTGCCACAGACAGCAGGAGGCACACACCTGTATTTAAGGTGCAGTCTAACAGAACATGCCGTTTCTATGACTACCACAGTGCTACACCATATAAAAAATAAAAATAAAATAAACCATACTTAATTGATTCAACCCCTGTCATGTCCTTGCCTGCAAACAATGTAACTAAATGTAACTATATTTACATAAACAAAAAAACAAAATTATGTTTTCACTCTCACAAATAAAAATAAAAAAATAGAAAAACCTTTTTACTTTGCATTGAAAACACGTACAATACTGGTTCCCAATAAAAAAAAAGATAATTAAAAAAGTATATTATCCTGAAATGGGAGTTGAGTACTTTTACTTTTGGTACGCTACTTCAGCTGTATGTAAGTAAAAATTTGAATGCAGGACTTTTACTTGTAACAAAGTATTTCTACACTGTAGTATTGCTGTTTTTACTGAAGTATAAGATCTGAGTACTTTTTTTTTCACTCAAATCTTTTTTGTTTAATTGAACATTTGGGGAACATATAAAAGCATAAACATCTTTGAGAGCATGTGTGTTCTTTACAAATACAGAGTATTAAGAATAAGATTAACTTTATTCATCCCCAAGGGGAAATTCAATTATCTGCCAGCTCATCTATTAAATGTCAAAGAATTATAAAGCCTGATGGCTGTTGGTATACAGGATCTTCTGTGTCTCTCTGTCCTGCATCGAAGAGAGAGGAGCCGACCACCACAGTGTTTTTTGGTCCATCAAGGTGTTGTGGAGTGGATGATCTGGGTTGTTCGTGATGGCCTCGAACATCTTCAGTGTGCATCTCTCCACCACCTCCTCCAGTGTGTCCAACCTGACTCCAATCACAGAGCCAGCTCTTTGGACTAGTTTGTCCAGCCGCCTTGCATCTTTGTGTCTGATGCTTCCTCCCCAGCAGACTGCAGCATAAAACAACACACTGGCCACCACTGATAAAACATCTGCAGCATCTTACTACAGATGTTGAGAGATCTGAGCTTCCTCAAGAAAAAGAGGCGGTTCTGCCCCTTTTTGTAGAGAGCGTCTGTGTTTAGGGACCAGTCCAAGTTATTATCCAGGTGTACACCTACACTGAACAAAAATATAAACGCAACACTTTTGTTTTTGCTCCCATTTTTCATGAGCTGAACTCAAAGATCTAAAACATTTTCTATACACACAAAAGACCATTTCCCTCAAATATTGTTCACAAATCTGTCTAAATCTGTGTTAGTGAGCACTTCTCCTTTGCTGAGATAATCCATCCCACCTCACAGGTGTGGCGTATCAAGATGCTGATTAGACAGCATGATTATTGCACAGGTGTGCCTTAGGCTGGCCACAATGAAAGGCCACTCTGAAATGTTCAGTTTTATCACACAGCACAATGCCACAGATGTCGCAAGTTTTGAGGGAGCGTGCAATTGGCATGCTGACTGCAGGAATGTCCACCAGAGCTGTTGCCTGTGAATTGAATGTTCATCATCAAGATTGTCTGAGACCAGCCACCCGGACAGCTGCTGCAACAATCGGTTTGCATAACCAAAGAATTTCTGCACAAACTGTCAGAAACCGTCTCAGGGAAGCTCATCTGCATGCTCGTCGTCCGATCTTGGAGGTGAACATGCTGGATGTGGAGGTCCTTGGCTGGTGTGGTTACACGTGGTCTGCGGTTGTGAGGCCGGTTGGATGTACTGCCAAATTGTCTGAAACGCCTTTGGAGACGGCTTATGGTAGAGAAATGAATATTCAATTCACAGGCAACAGCTCTGGTGGACATTCCTGCAGTCAGCATGCCAATTGCACGCTCCCCAAACCTGCGACATCTGTGGCATTGTGCCGTGTGATAAAACTGAACATTTCAGAGTGGCCTTTTATTGTGGCCAGCCTAAGGCACACCTGTGCAATATTCATGCTGTCTAATCAGCATCTTGATATGCCACACCTGTGAGGTGGGATGGATTATCTCGGCAAAGGAGAAGTGCTCACTAACACAGATTTAGACAGATTTGTGAGCAAAATTTGTGAGAAATCTTTTGTGTGTATAGAAAATGTTTTAGATCTTTGAGTTCAGCTCATGAAAAATGGGAGCAAAAACAAAAGTGTTGCGTTTATATTTTTGTTCAGTATAGATACTTATAGCTTGGCACCACCTCGATGTCCACCCCACAGGTATTCCCTGGCTGAAGAAGGGGCTTGGACCTGCGGAATTTCATTTCCTTGGTCTTTGAGGTGTTCAGGAGGAGACAGTTCTTGTGACTCCAGTCACTGAAGGCTTTTATCAGGTCCCTATATTCAGACTCCTGCCATTCCTGATACACGCCACAGTAGCAGTGTCATCCGAGTATTTCTGGATGTGGCAAGACTCAGAGTTGTATTTGAAGTCCGCCGTGTACAGTGTGAACAGGAATGGAGCCAGGACAGTTCCTTGTGGAGCCCCGTGCTGCTCATTAATGCTTTAAAGTATATAAAGTCAACCATGATGAAGACAAGAACTTATAAATAAAATTTAAAAAAAAAAACAGGGAGATTTATACATGAATAAATAAGATTTATAATTTAAAATAATAATAAGTTAATGAAGTAAAACACCAGGTGTGGGCTGGAGAGACTCAGGTTAGGATGCTGCATCATTTACAGATGACCCCTCAGCTGGTCTGACAGAGACGTGCTCAACATGTCAGATGGACGTGGGAAGTTTTAAACACTGTGTGGTCATAGATCCATATTGAGAGGTGCTGGGGTAAACTGCTGGTAAAGTTAACTTGATTTTTAATGTAAAGTTTGATACTGAGCCTCACACTTTGTGTCTCAGCTCAGACAGTCCTCACAATAAAAGCTTCTTACTGTTGCTGCCCAGAAAAGCATATGGCTCAGGTGGATTGACTCGCCACCTACAATTAATACAAATAATATTTGAGCTGATAACAATGGGAGCATCTAACACACAGATTCAAATGTGAAATGATTAGTTAAAGATTTTGTCATCCCTTTTTTTTTTTTAAATATACAGGGAAAATATCCACAAATACTATATTAAGGTTTATAGTTTATTTTTGCACATTCAAAACACAAAAAAGGCAAGAAAAAAATTATGAATATACTTCTAAATTTTCACAATGTTATTAAGATCTCAAAAGTACAGTAAGATAGCAAAATTGTTAGATGATAACAAACTACTAACAGAAAAATATGTTTGATTGCAGCAACAACAAAAACAAGGCCAGCAGTAATAGATCCATTCAAGAGCAGATTGTCTTTTAAAGGGACTGAGGGACTGCAGGATTGAAAACTGGCAAAATGACATTTTTGGATGAGAAGGTGGAGTATTCTATTATTTTATTTACTTATTTATTTATTTATTTAACTGAGTTTCTCTGAGATGTGTCCTGTTTTGTTCTTGAGTCACACCCATCGTCTGCCTTGTTGTAAATGATTTACTATCATTACTCTGTCATGCTATTTCTTTTATTTATCTTCCTTTCTCCTCCTCAGATGTTTAGTTGTTGTGGCCACTGTGTGTTGTTATATTTGTGTTGAAACACTATCATAAACATGGGTGCAGATCTGATGACAAGTTTGGGGGGGACACAATCAGTTGTGATTTTTTTTTTTAATTGCACGCGTGCAAATCATGCCCACGGAGCGCTTGAGATTGCCAGCATATTTCACGATTTCATAGAGGCTCATCACCATCACCAAGTCATTCAAAAAGCACTACAAAGAGAATCATATGCTTACCTTTACTGTTTATTTCTCTTAAACAGCCAGTAGTACGTGGAACCAGCCATCACCCTCCTTTTCACTGCTTCGCTGTTAGTTAATGCTACTTCTAGTTTCAGGGTCTCAGGCATGTTATGTCCACTCACGTTCTCATCTCTCGTCTCTCACGGATTCCCATTTCTCCTCATCATCTTCCCTTTCTCCCAGTATATAGGACTACTGTATACATTTGTTCAATTTCAATCATTTAAGCTATTTAGAATTGGGGGGGACAGTTTGTGTTTTTCAGAATTTGGGGGGACATGTCACCCCGTCCCCCCCGGGATCTGCACCCATGATCATAACATTTGAAATAAAAGAAAAACAAGCAGAAGAAGAATTGAGAAAAGTCAACACTTATTTTTTTTGCACTTCCAGTGACAGATGTTTTGTAACCCAGCTCAGATGAGAGCAGCTTCTCCTCTTCCTCTGCTCTTCCTCTCTGTTGCAGTGCAGGACACAAAAGTCCTTTAATCGCTCCTCAGTGCCGCTCACACTGCGCATGCGCGAACATTTACCCAGCAGGTAAACTCCACCATGGCGGCGAGAGGCCATGTGCAGGACCCCAACGACAGGAGACTCAGACCCATATACGGTAAGGACTCAATGGGGACCGGTATATTGAAGCGCGTCTGTGGCTCCGGGGCACGTCCCGGTGTTGTGTACTGGAGCATGTTCGGTAAAGCTGCCGGTGTTGGAGTGTGAGGGCAGCGATGCGGCCCCACCAGCTCCAACCACGGACTGTGCTGCCTGCAGCGCCCAATGACAGTGCACCTTACCCGGTCTGCCACCGAGCCGGGGCAGGACACGGGTGTCGGGGTGAAACCGAGTGTCCCCGGTGTCCCACCTGTCCCCACTCCCGGTGGTGTTACAGCTGTGACCGGCGCGGAAATGTTTGTCGACTCTTCTCATTGTCAAAGTCGAACTCCTTTTTGCTAACGGTCGCTATTTGACAGCTAGCTAGCATGCTAATGTGTCAGCTAGCTCGCTCACTCAGCTCACACACATGCTGCAGCAGTGTGTGTGTGTGAAAATAAAAGTTGTGTATGTGTGCAGGTTAAACGCCTCGTGCTGACAGGTGTTTAGGTTGTGATCAGCTGTCTGAGCTCAGTCTGAATCTGCTGTGTGGCTAGCTAAACGTTACACGGTTAGCTTCCAGCTAGCATCAGGATCATAATAGTGTAAGGACAATGCTTTAAGCTAACTCCGGCTAGCTTGTTAGCATGGAGCTGTCACAGCTCACGGAGCTCTTTGGGGCTCATAAATAACGGAAATAACAGACAGTTACTATCTGTTTTGTTGTTGAGCGATGGTGGAAGAAGTATTCAGATTATTTACTTGAGTAAAAGTACTAATATCACACTAGAAATACTCCATTACAAGTAAAAGTACTGCATTAAAACCCCGTTTAAGCTAAAGTAGTCTACAAGTATTAGCAGCAGAATGTGCTCCCATGCTGTCAGTGTTTCTCTTCTTCTATCTAATGTTTTAATGAATATTCCTGCTGCATTAATGTGTCATTGTACTGCTGTACATGCTTCAGGTTGAGCTCCTCTATATACTGTTGGGTAGTTTAATCTACTGCAATGCATCATAATCTGTCAGACCATTGTATGTTTGCAGCCTGGCCATGTGTGAGAGTTATGCATCTTTAAAAACTCACCTTTCCATGGAGCCAGCTCTGTGACGATGCATTTTGCAGCTGGTCCTAGAAGGTTTTTAAAGAGTTTATTCAGCTTAAGATCATTCAACATCAGCACATGGACAGGAAGAGGATTAAAATCTAATCAGAACAGGCTGTCAGACACAAGTAGTGGAGTTATAGTGCAATATTTCCCTCTGAGATGTGGTGGAGTGGAGGTATAAAGCTGTGTGAAATGGAAACACTCGAGTAAAGTACCTTGAATTTGAACTTAAGTAGTAAGCACTTGCATAAACTTACTTTGTGACATTCAGCTGCTGTAAGTGTGTATGTAATAGGGGTGTAAATCACCAGTTTCATCATGATAGGATATGATTTTGATTCAGTGTGATTGAGAGGCCTGCGATCGATGTGAGACAATATTAAATTCCCATATAACACATAACTTAACATGTAACGTTAGTATTTTTCTTTCTCACCGCTGGTTTAAGTCACTGCGACTCCCGACAGAACATCTCGGTTGAATTTCAGCTGCACATTGTTGAAACAGCAGCTGATGTTGCTGTAGGGAGAAGTTAGCGGCATGAGACGCTCGTGTTGTATCTCTTGTGCACGTCAGCATGTGTCTGTTGGCCCCCTTTTCCTCTGAAATCCAGATTATTTCCACGCTGCTGATTTATTCTCGAGTAAATAACATTATCCTCATTGTCTTTCTCATCTGCCTGCTGCTTCTTGATGGTCACACAGACTTTCAAAATAAAAGTGCATCCTGGAAATAAAGATATGGATCCATGTTTTCACTTTGCAGTGATACTGGATTGTTGATCAATGAATCGATATATAGGTTCAGAGCGATTGATGGTCACACTCCGACCTGTTCGGCTGTTTTACATAGGACCCGACTGATATATCGTTAAGCTGATAAAAATCAGCCGATGTTGGCCTTTAACAGACACATTGGCATCAGAATGTAATGCAGAATAAGATTTCCTGCCTCTATTACGTATGTATCTTCATCACATGTTTAACTGCAGAAAATAGTCATTCATTTGTTTCCACTTATCCTGTTGGGGGTCACGGAGGGGCTGGAGCCTATCCCAGCTGACACTGGGTGAGAGGCAGGAAAATCAAAATTATTAGCGACTCCTTGGTGGTGATTTAAGTCCAGTTTTGCTTTAAGCCATTGTTTGAGATGGGTCTGAAACATGTGATATGTATGGCCCTCTCTCAGAGCAGGCCATTTTAATATTTACTTCCTGTCACTGCCAGCACAGTTTGTTCACATGTGGTGCGCCCATATGGCACCTCACATGCTCTGAGTGATGAGTTCATGTTCCTCACATTTGTGTCGGCTTTCGTCAACTTTTGGTTGCCCTGTGATGACGGGTTGAACAGAGAGAATAGACATGACATAATCACAGTGTGCTGTCTGGTACGGTTAATTTTGGCAGCCAGCTGTCCTGAAGAGGCTGAACTGAGGTGTCTCTGTTAGTGTGTGTGTGTGTGTGTGTGTGTGTGTGTGTGTGTGTGTGTGTGGACACACTTCAACATTTACCAGGCGTTGAGAAAGAGTTATGGTGACAGCTTTGCTGGGACTTGTATTATCTGTTTATCTGCTGAGTATTTTCTTTCAATGAATATGTCAGCCGTTTGGTCAGAAAAACAAAAGTCTATTCCAAGCAAAAGTAAATGTCTTCCAGTTGATTTTTTGTTTAATCACTAGTCAAAAACATAAACTGTCAAAAAATGGTATGGCCCAAAAAAATTGGACAGTTTCTACAATCAGGCTTCCACCTCACCATCTGTGTCGCCAGTTCCCCGTCTCCAAAATGTTCGTAGGCCTGGGTCAAAGCTTCTCCCATCAAGTCTGTGTTTATAGATCACAACTTTTGCGTCTTTCAGGCCTCATTTACTGTGTACGCAGTGTTCATAAATGAGACCCCTGGTGTGTTGGAGAGGAAGAGACCTCTGAGGATAATTTGGCTCCTGGTGCAAGGAAGTTTCAGCTGGTTGCAATGTGCAATCCTCGCTGCTAGACAGGACTTAATCTTCCACACTGGACCTTTAAACAATGAGTGAAGTATCAAAATGATCAGCTAATCGATTGATTGACTACTCTCCAGTATTTACATGGTAACACACAGGTTTATGACAAGTCACTGTTGCCCAAATGTATGCTGAGCTGAAGACTAGTATTTCCAATCACCATCATTAATGTTTGTCCCCTGTGTTTCCCCAGATTACCTTGACAATGGCAACAATAAGATGGCAATACAGCAGGCAGATAAACTGCTGAAGAAACACAAGGACCTGCACTGCGCCAAGGTGAGTGACTGAGAGGGAGTTCTCCTCAAACCTGTTGTTTTCTACTGTTAATACAAGTTTACATGGATGTTGAACCTGTTGATACAAAGCAGCTGCTAGTGCACTGATGTAACCCTTAAAATGTTCTCTATCTGATATTATATGACATGTCAGCTGTTTACTCAGTACAGTCATAATCTCTCTTTGCATGTAATGACTCAGAAAAACACATATGCAACCATAAAAGGTTTCTGGGGGAGTTTTCCCTCATCCAAAGAGAGTCTTGTATACTGTACACATTGTAAAGCCCCTGACACAAATTTGCAATATTGGGCTATGTACATAAAATCGACTTGGCACACTTCACCAGGCGAGTCACAGTGCAGCAGTTTGCTCATGAATGAACACATGCTGATGCTGCAGAGGTCAGGCGAGCTGTGACCTGATGGACGGGGCGACCTCTAGCTCACCTGGTAGAGTGTGTGCCCCATGGAGGCTGAGTCTGCTTCAATTGTGACCCGTGGCCCCTCTGCTCTATGTCATCACCATTTTCAGCTGTGCTATCATTAAAGGCAAACAAAAAAAACACCCAGTGAATAATCTTTAGGCCTGATGGCCACCAGACTGTCACCATCACCTCAAATTGTATTAGGCTGCAAATCTGTAGTATTTCAAATGTGTCCTTGAGTTAGCTGAAAATAGCCATTCGTTATAGTTTTGTCAGACAAACAACCAGATGAACATGTGGAAGTTACGTTGTGCTGGTGTCTGACGAGTTCAGGATAATTGTAAGAATGATAGGTTAAAACCTTTTCCGAGCTGTCCTTCAGTGAGAGCCTTAGTCAAATGCTATGACTCTTTGAAACGTAAATATCTGTGTCTGACCCCTTGTGTACAGGTTTGCATGCCTGAGCTCTGGACTGCTGCGTCTAAAATTTAAAATTCTGAATTTCAAAAAAAAAAAAAATCGGTCATACAGGCAGAGTGTTTTTCATGGTGTTTAGAGCAGGAGTTTGAGAGGTGGATTTGTCCGGGTTTGTTGTTGGGTTGAGCTGCAGTGCCTCCCGACAGTATTTTTCATTTAGAGCACAGTCAGAGTGTTACACACGTCATGTCTTGGATTTTAAACCTTTTTTTTTTTTTTACATCTAGCTGTTTGTAATCAGACGTCAGATATGGTCTGAAAAATCCACCTTGTAGTCTGGAAGAGTATGGAATTTTAAAATGGGGATAGCCCTGTTTTAAAAACATAAAGTTTCAAATCTGACAACTAGTTGTGGCATTGATTTCAGATGATATTTTGCAGACCAACGTTAGACCACAAAAACCTTTCTGAGAAACTGTAAAGTCCAGTTCAGACCAAAGATACGCGACCAGACGTTCTAAAAACCTGTCGGTTCACACCAAGTCACACCTGTTGAAACGGGCGACGTGCTTTAAAACCAAACCAACCGGCCAGTTGACCAGCTGAGTGTCAGGTGACCATCAGCCGGCTTGAGTCGAGCTCAGACCGGCCAGGTCACACCGCTGACACTTTTCTCTGCAACGTTTGAAAACAGTTTCGTCTCATCGTGAGTCTTCGGTCTGAACTGGGCTGAAAGTATTAAACGTGAGGATGTCTGTCTCATACGTCACTGTGAGTGACTGGGAAGGAAAACACTGATAATTTATGATGCTCTGAACAATGAGGTGGTCAGAGAGGCACAGAAACCAAATCCACGCTTTAGTTTGGCTGCAGTTATCTGAAAAGCTTCATCCAGACGTCAGTTTGGCCGTCACACATCCTGCGTGAGCGTTGTTTTCTGGGGAAGTCAGGCTGTTGACATTAACATCACCTCACTCTGTTGTTTCTGTCTCTCTTCATCCTTCTCTCTGTCCTCCTCCTCCTCCTCCTCCTCCTCCTCTCAGGTCCTAAAGGCCATTGGCCTTCAGAGGACTGGAAAGCAGGATGAAGCCTTCACTTTGGCGCAGGAAGTGGCCACTCTGGAGCCCACTGATGACAACTCACTACAAGCTCTGACTATTCTGTACAGGGAGATGCATCGTCGTGAGTACACATGCCCACACACACACACACACACATATGAAGGCTGGTAGTAGTAGCTACATGGTGAGTGTTGTTCCTGTTGTTGACAGCTGAGCTGGTCACCAAGCTGTATGAAGCTGCAGTGAAGAAGGTTCCTCTCAGCGAGGAGTATCACTCTCACCTCTTCATGGCTTACGCTCGTGTGGGGGAGTACAAGAAGATGCAGCAGGTTGGAAAGCTGACGTCCACGCTCTGCACATAAACGTGCAAACACACATGACTAACTGTGATTAAAAAGATATGATCAGAAACATGCAGAGGGTGTTAATGGCTGACTCTCTGTACCTTTACAGGCAGGAATGGCTTTGTATAAAATCGTCCCCAAGAATCCGTATTACTTCTGGTCTGTCATGAGTCTGGTGATGCAGGTATGGGATGGGACAGGTGTTCACATTCACTAAATATTGTCATTATGCTGAAGATAACGTGTTGTGTGTTGTGCAGGCCATCTCAGCACAAGATGAGAAGCTGGCCCAAACCATGTTCCTGCCTCTGGCTGAACGCATGGTGGAGAAAATGGTGAAGGAGGAGAAGATCGAAGCAGAAGCAGAGGTGAGACAGGTGGCCTGAGGGATTATATGAGTTAAAGGAGCACTTCATCTAAAGACAGTATAAATCGTATATATAGGAGGGCTGCAAGATTTTATTGGTCGCTTAGTCACAGAAAAGAAAAAAGAAAAAGAAACACGACGTGGTAAAATGAGCTGATCTGAGCTGTGGAATCGCACATGCAGAACCTAGAAAGTGTCATCAGGGTCATTCATACTGTCTTAGATTATGTGTTCGCTTTTGGTTTGTGTTTCCAGCACAAGTTTGGTCTTAAATTTGATTTAAAGTGGTATTAAAAAGTCTTAAATTTAACCTGTTTACACCTGTAGACACCCTGTGTAACCACTTTGATTAACTGTAAAATATCGTCAGTTGCTGGCTTTATTTACAGTTGTTTGTGTTTTGTTTTTTATGTGTGACTGTAGGTGCAGCTGTACTTTATGATCCTGGAGCGCCTGGGAAAGTGTGTCGAGGCTCTCGAGGTGATCAGGGGCCCACTTGGAGGTAGGTGTATGTCTTTGTGTTCTTGGAAAGCCTGAAAAATCCTCCTCTCTATCACTAAAGATAATTAATCAACATCTCTGTGACGCTGGTCGTCAGCCCGCTGATTTACAGCTGCAGTGCTTTTGGCAAGATGTCTTAAAATCAATGAAGCTGCAGGTTAAGTGAGCAGGACAGAGCAGAAATCATTCAGGGCAGCAGAAAGCAGGAAAACACTGATGCAGTGATATAATAACATCCACTGTTCAACATTTGTAGCTAAGCAACAGAACACAAATGAGGAACACTGTTAATAACCCACAGCAGTGAGACACAGATGAAACACAATGTTAACCACCAAATATAAACCCAAATGAAATGTTGTTTAAACTGATTAAATCACAGAGATCCCTCCTCACTGTATATTTCTGCGTCCGTCCACAGAGAAGCTGACCAGCGAGCTGCAGAGCAGAGAAAACAAGTGTATGATGCTCTACCAGAGGCTACAGCGCTGGCCCGAGTGTAACTCCCTGGCCCACAAGCTGCTGCTCAAAAAGTGAGTATCATCTCTTTAAGATGAGACTTCTGTGAACACGAGACAAAGGTACAAACCTGTGTGTGTTTGTGTTCATAGCCCTGATGATTGGCAGTTCTATCCCTCCTACTTTGACTCTCTCTTCCACCTGATTGACCAGTCGTGGAGTCCACCAGAAGAAGGAGAGCAGTGAGTATAAAGTTTTATTTTAAGTGGGACTGAGTGTGTTTGAGCATGACCAGTGTCGGGGGTTTTGCGGCAGATGACCATTTAAATATTGGAGGGTCTCAAAAATTCTGTGAGGATACATGGGCAAATAATACTTTGACAGAAACACGAAACATAAACATTTTTGGTAAGCGTTCCTCACGTGTGGTTATTGGAGACTTGTGATCAAGGCGTGTACTCAGAGGACACAATGCAGGAAAAAAATGGGATGAATCAGCAAATGTTTTTTGTTTCTGTGTGTGTCCCTTTGTGAATGCAGCACAGGCAGAACTCTTAATGAGATTTTTTTCCCCTCTGCAGCAGTTTGTGGAGTTTGAGCTGCAGGGTGAAGAATTGATCTGTTTGTGGTTGGATCGATCAGAGCTGATCAGATCAAACTGATGGATCAGATTAGAGAAGCAGCTGCTGCAGAGGCGAGTGAAAGCAAACTTGAAGACCCAGTGCAAGGCCGTGGGGTGCACAGTTTCTGTGGGAACTCTGCCAGTTTCATCTTAAAGGGATAGTGCACCCAAAAATGTAAATTCAGCCATTATCTACTCACCCATATGCCGAGGGAGGCTCAGGTGAAGTTTTAGAGTCCTCACATCACTTGCAGAGATCCAAGGGGAGAGGAGGTAGCAACACAACTCCACCTAATGGAGGCTGACGGCGCCCCAGATTCAAACGTCCAAAAACACATAATTGAAACCACAAAATATCTCCATACTGCTCGTCCGTAGTGATCCAAGTGTCCTGAAGCCCCGACATAAAAAGTTGTTTGGAAAAACCTCATTTGAACTCTGTTTTTAGCCTCATTGTAGCCTGTAGCTCTACTGTGCACCGCGCACACGACCGTGAGACATGGACACTGCCTTCATGTGTGTTCACGTGCTTTCGCTGGCACACATGAGCGCCCGTTCTGAACAGGCACTGCACTACAAAGCTGAAATCGTCCGATAATATCGTCCTGCTTATATTTGTTCAGGCTCTTTGTGTTCACAACGCACAGTCACAACATTTCATCCATCCAGCCTTCATCAGAGTCAGAATGTTAGTTTAAATCCATTCTTACTTCCTGCTCTCGGCTGTATGACGGCCTTAAAATGACAAAGTTGCTGAGTGTTTACGGAGCTCATCCTTCAACCTGAGTTTGGAACACCTTGTGCACAACCTGCTGAGTCGTCCTTGAGTCGCTGTGAGCTCCTGTGGCGCTGTTCTGTTGTTTACCTCTAAACTTTAGAGGGCAGCACCAGAGTTCTGCTAAACAGATGAATGTCCAGCTCTGATCTATGTGTTTCTGTGTGTCCCCAGCTGTTCGGAGGGTTCGGTACATCACACTGTGGCTGAGGTGGTGAGGTTCGTGGATGAGAGAATTAAAGGGGAGGATGGCAAAGACTCCCGATCACTCAGAGGACCCTATTTAGCTCGTCTTGAATTAATGCACAGACTGAGAGAAAGGGGCTGTCCTGAAGAGAGCCTGTTAGGTAAAACACATGGACTATGCAACTAAGTGTTTTTTTTTTTAGCTTCACCCTCTGCCGGGTGTTCCTTATGTGTGACTTCATGTGGCTTTGAACAGGTGAGCCTTTAGAGCTAATGGTGCAGTTCTTCGGGAAGTTTGGAGACAAACCCTGCTGCATCACCGACCTAAAAATATACCTCCATCTGCTCTCGCCTGAACAGCACGTGCAGGTGAGTTACAGCAGCATTGTTGCACACACGCAGGTGAAGTGAAGGGTTGGCCAGTGAAACACATTCCTCTCTTCCTCAACTGTTGTAGTTCATTAACCGTCTGAGTGAAGCGGTCCCGCTGGGGGAGCAGGGAGAGGAGGGATTCGCTTTTCCAGAGGACACCAAAGCGCTGCAGAGGCATTTGTGCGTGTGCCAGCTGAGTCGAGCGCTCGGGCTGCATCACGCTCTCAACGTGGACGGGAAACTGCGGCTCATCGCAGAGCTCAAAGCTCACTATCGGCACGGACTCAAGTTTGGTAAGTTAGTCACTCTTAAAGGTCCGATGTTTGTTTGTGAACTTGAACTAATTGTTAAAAAACGTTGGCATCTGGCCCAACAGTGAGGTTTTCTTAATGGTATTTTTTGTGTCTAACAGGGAAGAACGCTCTGAAGACGGAGCTGCAGTTCTCTGATATGTATTGTCTCATGGCAGCTCATGTATACATCGACTTATGGACAGACACTGGTGAGTTTTCCCGTCTCTTCCTCCAGAGCTTCTCTCTGTGTCACTGGTAATGTCTCTAACTGTGTCGCCCTGTGTTGTTGCTGCTGCAGGGGATGAGAGCATGGTGTGGCAGTGTTTGGGCGTCCTCCAGGAGGGTCTGTCTCTGAGTCCCTCCAACGCCCAGTTCAAGCTGCTGCTGCTGCTCGTCTACTGTCACCTGGGAGCCTTTGAGCCTGTGGTGGACCTCTACTCCAGCCTGGACGCCAAGCATGTACAGCACGACACCATAGGGTCAGTACAGCAACACAGTTGAAACTTCCTACACTGACTCAAATTGAAATATAGGTGACTAAACTATCTACGTTATTCATGCAGGAGTAATTAGGCATCAGGCTGTAAATGAACACAGTGAACAACCACTGGTGTGTAGTTTAAAATAAATGCACATATCATGAAAAGAACAGGCAATAAAGAGTGTAAAATATTTATTTCTGTAACACTGAACATACATCTGACAAATAGCTGGGATGGGATGAATTTAATAAATATACACGCACAGGATTTGCATGAATACAGCTTGTTTTATCATCACTTCACACTAAGTGGTGGGGAAATTCATGAACTGCTTTTTTCGGAGGAGCTGAACAAGCAGAAAAGTTTCATAAACTACTATTTATTCATTACTTTAAGTTACTTATACGTTACTTATAAGGACCTTGGTTTTTGTGGCAGGAGTACGTGCTCTCTCTTGCTCCCTGCTCAAGGTAAGAAAAAAAGTATATATACCTTTAACAAGCTCATTGTTGATAGATACTTCCTCTACCATGGACTGCACACTCTGCCTGAACACCATCTGGCAGCTCCTCACAGGTAACAACACCTCTGGAGCTCTTCTAATTATCCCCACAGATAAGAGGGATGACCTAATGCCTGCTATACACTATAAGGTCCTGTTTATACGACAACGATTTCAACTGAAAACAGTAAACTTTAGTTGCGTTTTGGCCGATCGTTTACACGACAGCGGCGTTTTGGGTGCCTGAAAACGCAACGTTTTGAAAACGTGTTCCAGAGTGCAATTTTTTGGAAACGGCACCGTCTCCGTTGTCATGTAAACTTGCAATATGCAGTCCCTCTGAAAACGGAGACTTTCGCACATGAGCATTACACTTCCAGTCACGAGGCATGCGTGAGAAAGTCGACCATCACAATAACAATGGTGGACTCCCGAGCTCTGCTTGTGCTGCTCACCCTGTTGAATTCATCAACGCTTCCCCATCATAGTGTAGATTTACTAGAGCAACTCCACCTCGTCGTCCGTCCAGACAAACGTTGGTGCGGTTGCCATTTTGTTTGTTTATACATCGCCACTCTGTAGAAGGAAGCGTAAGCTGCAGCGTTTTCTGGTCATTTGTGCAGATCCGTGTTCACGGCAATTGTTATCAAAACGTTGTCATCTAAACATGGAACTTTTTTCAAAACAAAAATGAGAAACGATTCTGTTTTCAGTGCATCGTTTTCGTGTAAACATGACCTAAGACTTTGAAAATACTTTTAAAAGACTAAAGTCTGACGCCCTCTCACATCTGAAGACTGTTTTAGTGAAGGTTTTGGGATTTTTTTTTTAGATTAATTCCCATCCTGCTCCTGGTGGAAAATGTTACGTCAAACTCACTTTAATAAATACAACATTTTAACGTTTCCTCATGTGTCTGCAAAAACACATAACTTTAGAAACACAAGATAAAAGGCGTCACATGTCGACACGTCTTGTCAATTCGGCATTAGTAGAATTGTAGGTATAAACTGTGTTTATGTTCAAACTTTACATTTTGGATTTTGTCGTCTCTACTCACAACCACCCTCCATTGGGTAGCTGCACTAGTTTAGTGGGAGGAGACTGTGAGAATGAGAGGTGGACTGTTCCAAAAATTAAGATTTCTCACTAAAGTAAACACCGTCTACCAACTCTTGTTCACTCCACGACTCCACCAGTTTCTCCTCCTGTCCCAAAGAACAGAACCAAGAGTTGTTCACATTCTTTCCCCTCCATGTTCACTGGTTTGCTACTTCCTGTTTGGTGCTGGAGAGAGCACAGCTATAAGTTGACCATATCCACATCATTGAACTTCACTATTGGCACAGTCTGTGTCTGCACAGTGAAGTCGTTTGCAGGGTTGTTTGACGTAAGGCAGGCATGAGTTAAATAAATTGATTACATTAGTTTACTCCTAGCCCTAAAAGTTGAACCAAAAATGTGTTTAAATGGGAGGTTTTGACCAGCTAGGACTGATATCTGTCTCTGAGACGTTTGATAAATATGAGCCCAGAACAGTGTTTACTATTCACTCAGAGATTTGAGTGTAAAAGTGCTTCTTTCTTTTTCATTTTCAGATTTCTGTTAACGCGCTACGCTGAGTCATTGGGTCAGTTCGCTGCAGCCTCCCAGTCCTGTAATTTCTCCCTCAGGTTTTTCCACTCTAACCAGAAAGATGTAAGTCTATCCCACCTTGTGATTCAATTTCTAAACACTTTAAAGCCGAGGTCACATTTGTACTTATGTTCAGTTCCCTCTGTAATGTATCTCTCCTTCCTCAGACCTCAGAGTATATCATCCAGGCGTATAAGTACGGAGCGTTTGAGAAAATCCCAGAGTTCATCGCTCTCAGGAACAGGTTGAACCAATCGCTGCACTTTGCCCAGGTCCGCACTGAGAGGATGCTGCTGGACCTGTTCCTCGAGGCCGATATGTGAGAACATGCTCAAAACATGAAACACTACATTAAAGCTACTTGTGCTGCAAAGTCTTCTTATTTAATAGTTGTTTGTTTTTTAATTTGTCTCTCAGTGTGTTGAGTCTGGAGGAGAGCGTGAAGGCCATGTCTTTGTCTCCAGAGGAGGATGACATCCCCTGGGATAATATGAGGGACAACAGAGACCTTACTGTTTTTACCAGCTGGGACCCTAAAGACAGGTACATCACTGTTTCATATTCTGGCAAAAACGAGGTGCATGTTGTCGCTAACGATCCCAGGAATAAGAAGTAAATCTCAAGTGGTGGCACCTGATTAGATTTAGGCTGCTTTCACGCCTGCCCCGTTTGGTTTGGTTCAATCAAACTCAAGTTCATTTGCCCCCTCAGTGCGGTTCGTTTGGGCAGGTGTGAACACAGCAATCACACTCAGGTGTGCACCAAAACAACCGGACCAAGACCTTCTTGAAGAGGTGGTCTCAGTCCGGTTCCAGCCTCAGTTTTAGTTTGAGCTGTTTGCAAATTGCAAGGTCAGCATTAAATGTATTGTTTTCCTGTTTACACCAGATAGGGGCGGCAGTAGCTCAGTTCATAGGGACTTGGCTTGGGAACTGGATATACTTCACTAATCCCTGAGAGGATTAGTGAAGTATATCTTAACCCTGATGAAGCCACAGGCGAAACACGTTTGTAACATTTCAAATGAAGACTAAATCAAAAGAAGAAGCAATTCAGCTCTCTTGTGTGCAGTGTATCTACTTATTCACTATATATCTTAAAATCTTATCTTATAGTTAAGTGTTTGCATGATCGTGGGAAAAATAAAGGCTCTGACTCAGGGGTTTTTGTTTTTTTTTTTTGTTTGTTTTGTTTTTTTTTGGTGGGGTAGTTTTGTGGTTCAGACCACATGATATCAGCCCAGTAAGGCCAACCTGTCCAACAAGGGTGTCTGCTTGGATCAGGAACAACAATGGGCATAAACTGATGCTGCAGCTGGGATACCTCTTGACGTCCCTGCAGAAAGACTTACGCCTGGTTCAGACAGCACAGTATTTTTGTCTGTTACAATGGTCACTGTGTCAGATCAGGCAGTTATGATAATGATAATAATAATAGTAATGATGTATTTTATTTATATGTGCCTTTCAAAGCAGTCAAGCCACACCTTAAAACACACAGTAAAAAAAACAAAACAAAAAAAAACAAACAAGCAGCAATGCATCAGTAGATTATAAGTAGGTATAAATACAAATATGAATAAAAAGGGGCCTAGGACAGAGCCCTGCGGAACACCACTAGTAACTGGAAAATAGTTGGATTTGAAATTTCTAAGCTGAACAAAGTGAGTACGGCCAGAGAGATGATTTAAACCAGGCAAACGATGCGCTAGTGATAGACTCATAAAATCTTGCTGTGACTTGGTTGAGAGACGACCACTGTCTTTCATGACACGTGTGATGTCATGGGAAAGGAGGTGGTAGGGACCAACTTTCAGGAATAAGAAAGTAAACTAACAAAAATGGTGTGTATGATGCTGGTGGTCTTGTGTTTGGAAAAGCCTAAAAAAAAGAAAAATACATCCATTCATCCATCTCTCGTATTAGAATTTAGTTTTAGTTCTTGAGAAAAGTTGTAGTACATTTTGTCATACTTCTTGTTTTTAAAATGTCGCCTTTAACTTAACATTCAAATTTTGTGTGGAATAAAGGTTAAACGAAATCAACCTTTGTTCTCTCCTTCCACAGCCAATTAACTGAGGAGCACCGGCGTCGTTCTCTGGAGGAAGAGTCCGTGTGGCTGAGGATACGCTCTCTAACGCTTCGCCTCCTCGCCTCTTTGGCCGCTCTGGGACACACGCCATCGCAACAGAACTCTGAGGTGACCAACGAAAACGGAGTGGGAGACAAGACCTTGATCCTCAGCAGCCTGCTGTCGCAGCTCAACCAGACTCTGCAGACGGCCGCTCAGATAGCAGAAAAACGCGTACAGGTATGTTTAACACAAATACCCAATAACATCAACAGGAAATAAAGAAGAAGAGAGAAATAAGAAACTGTTGCTTCACACATGGACTGGGATTTGTCCAATTTTGAAATCAAGATGGAAAAAGTTGTCAGATCTTACAAAACTTTCTGGTTGAGCCTGATACATACTGATAAGGGATGAACCAGACCAACTGTTAACTGACATGTGTGAGCCGAGTTCCTCCTCCCTCTGCAGCTCAGTGAGGATCGAGATGCAGCTGCATGAATTGTCTCATATAAAACAGATCCTGTGCTCTTTTTGCAACAGTCAATGTTCAGGCATTCTTCTATAAATCTGTTCTGCATCGCCTCAAGGAATGGAGAGAAATATTCTTTTGGCTAACCTGTAGATATCAGATCTGAGACAAAACTACCTTCTCTAAAGGTCCTTTAGGCAGGTCGCACCCCAAATCTGAAGAGCCTATCCTCACAGAGCTTGCTCAGTGGCAGCAGGGCACAGATTAGAGAGTCTAGTAATATTGGATTGCAGGAATATTTCTTTATGCACAAACCCAAAGTCCCAATTTAAGGATACTTAATGTCCAAAAATAAAATGTACAACTTGACTGAAAGAACCCTCCATCCTCCTCGTGGCTGTCTTAAAGTTTATCTTAATGTGTGCTCATATAACTCCCTAAGTGATGACTAAAAGTGTCTGTCCCTCTGCAGCTAATCTCACATACTACTGGTCCAATTAGCCTCATATTTTGTGTGCACTTCCATGTCATTATGCTCACAAATGTCTTATGGTTGCAGTGATTCACATCACATTGTTGAAAACTCTGTTTTTTAACTGTTTTACCATCATTGACTGCTGACTCCTCACTCCTCTTATGAGTCTTCGACAAAATCATGTAGCAAAAGGCATTTCTGGCAGTCGGCTCAGCTAAAATCCACAAGTCTTACCATCCATTGTAGGCCACATTTAGGCCTTTGTCGTGGCTCAAAATCTGACATCCATAGGAAAGTTTGATCTCATTTTGAACCAGAGCATCTGCAGATTAATTCCATACCATGTTATGATCTACAAAGGTTAGGCTCAATACAAGATGAATAAATCTTTGTTTGTTATCTTTTTTGTCATCTTGACTGTAACGCCTGGAACACGCTGCCTGTGTGAACATGAGCAGCATGTGTGCATTGTGGAACTACTTATTTTAAATTCAACTTTATTTATTTATTTTACCCATGTTAACAGATTAGAGCAGCCACACTGCCTGCGTGAGCAGCATGTGTGTCGCAGAATCTCTCATTTTTTTCTTTTTTTTGTTTTGTTTGTTTGTTTTTATTTTATTTTTTTCTGCATGTGTTAACAGATTAGAGCAGCCACACTGCCCATGTGAACAGTGCTCCTTAGTCCTGACTCAGCTGTAGAACATCTCGAGAATAAAGACTCGCCTATTTTTCTGGGTGATGCGTGCTGTTTTCAACAAAAAAGATTATGAAAGTGGTCTTATGATAATTATATTGACATTAAACCGCCTTTCACTAGAGTTTTTAATCCGTCATTTCTTTTTAACTTAAACACTTCCTGTCTTCATTTCAAAATAAACCCCCTCTGACAGCGTCTCTGCGGACAGAATCCCTTCATGTGTTAACACAAGGCTTTTTATTGTGAAATATTGTCAATACAGTAGATACAGCAGCTGGCAGCACTGCAGCAACAACGCTGTCAGTGTGAACACTGCAGGTGTGCGAGCTGCAGCAGTTCAGCAAGGTGGCCGCCACTTGCTGCTCATGCAGGCAGTGTGTTCCAGACGTAAGGGAGCCAGGAGAGACACGTTTGGACCCATTTATTGCTCCCTTATTAGGTTTATACAGTTGGCCAAAAATCAGGACACTTGGTTACTGGAAAACTTTCCATGACCATGCTAGTTTCAAACCAAAACAAACATCTCTACATGATCACCATTCTGTTGTCAAAAAGAAGAAAATCTTTTGTGTACGTTTGAGTGACTTAATGTCTGAGATGTGTCGAGTACATCGCTGTAATGATGTTTTTGTTGCTCTGCAGTATCCATTCCTGGGACCCCCCTCCACCCGCCTGGCCCCAGCTCTGTCCAGTGGGAGCTGTCAGTGCCAGGCTGCAGCCCTCCAGCTGTCTGTCCACCTACAGGAGCTGGAGACCGTCGGACTTGGTAAGAAGAGACGGCAGGAACATGAAGCAGATCAATGACTTTGCCTCATGCCTCATACTCATCCCTTCTTTTGTCTTTGCTCCTTCTTAGATGAGTCGTCAGAGCTTCAAACCCAGATCTGTAACGGTTTCAAATCATTAGTAGTTCAGCTTCAAGGTGAGTCAGCAGCAGGATGTCTGAATCAGTAAACTTCAGAGGTTTATTTTGTGTCTGTCATGCTTCATCTTTCCTTCTGTCTCTGCACAGAAATACTGAATAAATGCAAAGGGGATTTATTGGAACTGAAAGAGAGCACATTAAAAACCTGGCCCTCCTTATTAGAAAACCTAGTCTTCTTTGTTGAGGTGAGACATCTCTGCTTCCACACATAGAGACACACTCTGGATCTGATGTGTTAAAGCTGTAACGTGATACCATTACTCTGCGCAGACGGTGTGCATAGTCTTGTGGATGGCTAGTCACTGTGCCAAGATCCTCCGACCACTCAAGACAAGTCTACAGAAGAAGAAGAAGAAGAAAAAGGATGCAAACACAGCTCTGGTACAGATCTTCCTATTAATCCTCCTCTTTTACATCCATGCATGTATGTGCTCGTCTGTGAGAAACGCAGTGTTCTATATAGTTGATTATTTGTGTGTGTTGCAGCCAGCGGTGGTGTGTGGCTTCCAGGAGCTGACGGGGAGCTTGCAGGACGTGCTCACCCAGGCTCTGGAGCATATAAAGGGGCAGGAGACTGGCATGACGGCCCTTAAACTGGCCAGTTTAAGTTTGGAAGGACACACACAGGTGAGTGTGCAGACACATGAGCAGAGTATCTCTCCCTCCTCTCACTCATTTGTGAACAAAGAGCTGCACATGATCTTTATGGGTTTTTGTTTTTGTTTTGTTTTTTTGCTTCTGGGCTCTTTCGGAGTTCCTCTTTTTTCTTCTTCTTGTGTACTTGATGTGGACGTATTCATTCGGCCCCTTCTGCCTCACTTGTGCAACGAATCAGATGCATTTTAGAAAGTTAGCAGCCAATGATCACAGGTCGACTAATCGTTTTCCACCTTACAACAGTCTGTCAAATATTGAATGAAAAGTTATGGCGAGAGAATGTTGAACAAATTGGCCAACCCTGTTTGAGGACATGAAATACAGTACTTGTAAAAATGTTAAATGCTTGTACATCAGGCAGGAGCTGATGTCCTTGCTTGGATGTAAGGAATATTGTTACATCATGCACAATCATCTGACGGGCTCCCTCTTCGTTTCCTGTGTTTCAGGAGGAGGCGTCGTTTACGAAGGCTGCTATGGACAAGGTGCAGAGCAGTTACCTGCGCTCACTACAGGAGGTGGGAGATCTGCTCAAGAAGAGAGCAGAAACTATAAAGAACCTCAAGATCTGAGCACCATCACACACCCCAAATAATGATGACTGTACCCCCACCACCACCATCACCACCATCATCATCACCATCAGCTCCCCCTCTCTCCACCACCGTCTGTTTGCCCACCAGCTAACCTTCGACTCCTACAGCCTACCTACAACCCGCCCGGCCTCCTCTCCTCCTGCATATTTCTCCAGTCGGCGTTTGTGAGCTCTCAATCTGGATTTTTCTTTTTCTTTCCCTTCGACTCACACCTCTGGAACATTTGCAACTCTTATAGCACACGAGCTTGTAAGTAAACTCATGAATTTATACAGCAGCAGTTATAAATGAAAAATGAGGAAAAAAAGACATGCTCCTTTAAAAGATAAGAATAGAGCAAATTAGGAAAAATGAATACGCAGTTTTAGAAGAACTAATCTAATAAATTATTGTACATAGTAAAGAGCAACTACCACAACTCTCAATGACTAAATGAGAATATAAGACACAATAAACCACTATTCTGTTTGTCAGTTACGTTTCCTCTTTTTATTTCTCACCATGTTTCTCTGGTGAGAACAATCACACACAAACACATACACAGGGACTGTTAACACTAAGGAGGAAAGTTATTTCAATGTGCTGCTTTTCCAGCTGTTTCTCTCCGTCAAGAGCAAGCAGGCACAATTTTGCATTGAACTGATGAGCCCTCTGGAAACATGGACACCTGGCTACCTGCAGACTGAAGTTCCCCCCATTCAACATTTATTTTGTCGTCTTCTTCTTCTTTTTTCTTTGCTTTGTGTATCCTGTGTGTCGCTTTGAAAGTGGAACCACCTCCTGTAGTTGCAGTATTATAAAGAGCAGCAGTGGGTTGAGTTAAAGGACTTATCTTTTTTTTTTTTATCTGAATTGTCTGCCACTATTCTTTCTTTTCTTTTTGTAATACCAGTAGAAGTGGTGCTTGTAAACATGTCTCTTGTGGAATTGGGTTTGTTTCAGCACAACAACAATATATTCAGGCATGGATCAAATAATCAGAATCCTTTAAGACTGGATTGATTATAATTATTTAAGAGACCATTTTAATATTAATGGGTAACGTCTGTACTTTTCAACCTGGACTCTATTTTCCCATGTTTTTGTGTCCGAGTGACGAATGGAGGCAACAGTTTTTCAAGAGCATTCAAGAAAAGTGCTTGTTTTTGTCACTGACAGGCTCAGATTGTTATTCTATGTGTGTGAAATTATGGAAAGGATCCCTACAGAGATAGAGCTCTTTGTTTAAGATTAACATCCTATTTATTTAACAAGAAACACCTCCGAAATCATGATTGCCACACCCACCATCCTCCATTTAAATAGTACTTGTTTTTGCCACTGACAGACTCAGATTGATATTCTATGTGGAGGAAAGGATCCCTACTGAGATAGGCTTTTTTTGTGAAAGATAAGGTCCTTCTGGTTTAACAAGAAACAGCCCCAAAATCACAACTGCAACACCCACCAGACTCCATTGAAATAGTGTTTGTTTTTGTCACTGACAGGCTCAGATTGTTATTCTAACTCTGTGACAACATTATGAAAGGATCCCTACAGAGATAGAGCTTTGTGTTAAAGAGTCAATCCTTTTTGTTTAACCAGAAACAGCCCTGAAATCACAATTGCCACACCCACCAGACTAAATTTAAATTGTGCTTGTTTTTGACACTGACAGGCTCAGATTGTTATACGTGTCTGACAACATCAAGGAAAAGGTCCCCACAGAGATAGACTTTTTTTTTTAAGACAAGATCCTTTTCAACTACAGGAAACAGCCCCAAAATTGCTATAGCCAAAACCCACCAGCCTCCATTTTAAATAATGCTTGTTTTTACCACTGACAGGCTCAGATTGTTATACATGTTTGACAACATCAAGGAAAGGGTCCTTACAGAGAAAGATGTTCTTGTTAATAAGAAAGGTCCTTTTTGTTTGACAGGAAACAGCCCCAAAATTATGATTGCCACCAGATTATTAGTGTGTCCGACAACATTTTGGAAAGGATCCCTACAGAGATAGAACTTTGTGTTAAAGAGTCAGATCCTTTTTGTTTAACCAGAAACAGCCCTGAAATCACCGTCACCAAACCCACCAGACTGCATTTAAATCAACAGTCATGTTAGTGTGTATAGAGGCAGCATGTTGTCACATCTAACTGGTGAATTAAGGGTTAATTTAAACCAAACCAGAGCTGGTGATTGTTGGAACAGTGGAGAGATGATCCAAGATGGTTTCTTCTTCAGGGCTGTTTCTGGTTAAATAAATAGGATCTGACTCTTTAACACAAAGCTCTATCTCTGTAGGGATCCTTTCATAATGTTGTCAGACACTCAGAATAACAATCTGAGCCTGTCAGTGACAAAAACAAACACTTTTAGTGGACGTAAATTACAGTGCGCAATTGCCCCTTAACGTTACAATGCAGCCTGTTTCATCGATGCCAGCTGCAGCGCTCTCTCTCAGTGTTGGACCAAAATCACAAATTGTCACCACCATGAGTCACTAAGCAAAAAAAGGTGAGAAAAAAATAGGGTTCAGGTTGAAAAATATCAAAGTTACCCTTTAATGTTCACCAAGAACTGTACATTTTATACTCATCCACAGTGTGTCGCTGCAGGCATGGGAAGTCTTTCTCTCAGAATTCATCAGTATGCAAAGAACATCACCCCCTGTTAAAGGATATCCATGTATGTAGCGACACAACGGCAAATACAAGTGCACAAACTAATATAATTTATTAGGATGAGTGTTTTGGCAGAGTTGTAGTTCAGTCCAGAGCAGAGCACCGAGAGGATTTTGTCCACTTTGACCCAGATCTGATCCAGTACACAGTTATTTTGAGCCAAACTGCAGCTCTGCAGAATATTTATGACCTGGGAAGCAGCTCAAACCCACAGAGGTGTGTTTCACAGACAAACTTTGGACCTAAGTGTAAATAAAGAGGTTGAGGCAGCCTTTTCAGAAAACAGCGTGAATGGACATTAGTGTGTTTTTAAAAACAGCTGCAGTAGATACCATGAGACTTGTCCTGTGTTGATGTTTTTGTCATTCCCGTTACAGACACCCACCTCCTCCCTCCTGCCTGAAACACGTCTCATGAGCCAAAACAATTTCAGCTTCAGCATCTCCTCAGAAAAATGAGCATCTTCTATAATAAATAACCAGTGAGCGATAAAAGCAGATCTAGTTTACAGACGTCACCCACAAGCACTGATGCACCACTGCAGGTAGTGTGCAGTTTGGTTTTTGTTTTATTATGTTGATAATTTGGCAGAGCAATGTGAAAATGTGAGTAAGCCTCTCCCTCCTGTTGGTGTTGTATCCGCTTACAATCACACACACACACACACACACACACACACACATCAGCTGATAGATGCCTTTGTTTTTAACACGTGTCTGAACGACCCGCGGCTGCAGAGAAGATGTTTGTGATCTGACTACATGTTGTTGTTGTGGTTGTTGTTGAGGTTCAGAATAATGGTTGACAATCTGGAGTGTCATCTCACCACCCTCTTTTGTTAGAAAATGGAAAACAGAAACACTGGAATGTCAAAGCTTTTTTAAATAAAAAAAGTCAATGTGAGAATATTTGGTTGTGAAATGTCTTCAGCTCTTTTTATTTGTTTTATGTTGCCGTGATACTGGAGGCATTATGTTTTCAGGTTGTCTGTCCTATTCTTGGGAACGCCTTGAGGGAATCCTTTCAAATTTGGCACAAATGTCCACTTGGACTGAACAATTTGGTCAAAGTTCAAGACCTCTGTAGCTTTGCACCTGTGTCATTCTTGTTAACACAATAACTAAAAAACACCTTTAGGGAGTTTCTGCAAATGTGGCACAAACATTCACTTGGACTCAACGATGAACAGATTTGGTGGTTGAATTTCAAGGCCAGTGTGACCTCGTCTGTCTCATTCTTATGAAGACAATATCTCAAAAACGCCTTGAGAGAATTTCTTAAAATTTTGCACAAACATCCACTTAGACTCCACAATGAGCTGATGAGAATTTGATGGTCAAATGACAAAGGTCAAGGTCTTCATAACCTTGTCTGTCTCATTCTTATGAATGTGATAGCTCAAGAACACCTTTAGGGAGTTTCTTTAAATTTGGCACAAACGTTCTCTTGAATTCACTGATGAAGTGGTTTGAATTCAGTGGTCAAAGGTCAAGGTCACTGTGATCTTGCATCTGTCTCATTATTATGAACATCATATCGTAAGAAGGCCTTGAGGGAGTTTCTTCTCTTCTTCTTTGGCACAAACGTCTACTGTGACCTCATGTGTCTACTTCTTATGAATGTGATATCTCGAGAATGCTTTGCAAATCCTCAAATTTGGCACAAATGTTTACTTTGACTTAACAAGGAACTGATTAGAATTTGGTGGTCAAAGGTCAAGGCCACTGTTAACTTGTCCGTCTCATTCTTATGAACATGATATCTCAAGAACGCCTTGAGGGAAGTTTTTAAAATTTGGCACAAATGTCCACTTGGACTCAACAATGAACTGATTAGAATTTGGTGGTTGAATGTCAAAGGTCAGTGTGACCTCACTAATCATGGTTTTGGACAAAATGTAAGAATTCATGCACTAGTTATGACAAAACTTCACAGAAATGTCTCATAGAATAAAATAATTAAGTGATGACATTTTATCTCCAAAAGGTCAGAGGTCAACTTCACAGTGACATTATCAAGTTCTGTATAAAACACTTTTCTGGCCATTACTCAGCGTCATATCTCAGGAACAGAAGGGGAGACATTTGGTCAGATACTGAACTGGTGACTCTAATCTTGAAACTGCTGATTGTATAGATCTTCTGTGTGTGAAGCATCCGTGTTTTCACTGACATGGATGGAGACTGTCAGAGACACTGGACTGGTGGGCGGAGTCATACAACTGCGAGGTGGTTATCCAAGTTATTTTAAGTTATAGAGCTGCAACAATCGGTTTATGGAAAGAAAATATATTAATTACGCAACAGTTTTGATAATTAATAATAATTTCAGTCATTTTTCACATTCATTGGTTCCAGTCTACTCAAATATGGGGATTTACTGTTTTTACCCATGTTTGATTGTTGACCCAACGTTAAACTTTGGGCATTTTGGGAACTGTTTGGGGAACAAAAGCAAAGTCAGCTTTGACTCTGGGGAATTGTTGTGGGTAACTTTCACGATTGTCTTACATTTTGTAGACAAAAGGATCCATAAATTGATAAGATTAAAATAAATAACAAAACAAGTCCCACCGGCCACCCCGCTGCTCTGGAGAGTAAAGAACAGTCCCTTATATTTAATCTCTAACGGGTGCAGTACACAGTCAGTCCTGTGGGTGGCGGCAAAACACCGGGTGTTATTACTGCTGCGTCATGTCGTACACGAAGAAGAGCAGCATGCTAGAAACAGCTGTGAGTACAGAGATAAGAGGCTAACTAAAGTCTTAGACCGCGCATTAGCGTTGAAAACACAAATGTAATGTTTGTGTTAATGGTCGGAGGAGACAGAACCAGTATGACGAACATACTGGTTTAACTGGACAGAAGGGCGTTAGCTTTTTCTGCCTTTACGGCTAGTTGTATTTAGCCGTTAGCTAATTAGCTTGCTAGCTAGTCAGTTAGCTAGCTGTCACCGAGGTTTGTTTTGTTCTTTGTAAAAGTGTCCGTGTCTTTGAAAACACATGAGTGTGTCTCTGGTCGTTATCCGTCTGGAATTAGCCGACCAGTCTCCTTCTCCACAAGGTTTCCAGTACTCAGCTGGTGAGTTTAAGTTTCTGATAAACGTTTAAAGTCACTGCTTTTGTGCTGAGTTAGCAGGGAA